CATTGCATGTCTGTGAAGTTTTTTTTGTAACTCTGTTTTTTCGTGATTTAGACGAAGGACTGTAACTGTTATTTAATTCAATAATTTTCATGACAAATCATGACAATGTGATATGCAATCCAAAAAAGAAAGTTCTTGAAGACATTTGTAATAATTCTTTTTCTCGTGCTGTGGACTGTCCGTGGCTAATAATTTGTAGTCCCTTTTTTTTTTTTTTTTCTCTTTTAATCCTGTTCAGTGCTAATGGTGTGCTTGAAGTAATGTTGCCCTACCACATCTTTTGCTGTGGTGTGTATATAAGTGTGTGTGGGGAGGGTGGTGGGGGTGGTGTATGCACTTTATAGTCTTACACATTGTAAAATGTGCTTCAAAGAACTTACGTATAGATGTGTGTGTAACTCTCCTGTGTGTTGCAAGTGACAACTGAAGTGTTTGTTATCCACCTTATTTCATCTGAATCACTTAACTTTGCTGAATAGTTTGTAATCATAGAATCATAGAATTAACTGTGTTGGAAGAGACCTCTGAGATCATCAAGTCCAACCCCTGATCCAACCCCACTGTGATTACTAGATCATGGCACTCAGTGCCACATCCAGCCTCGTCTTAAAAACCTCCAGGGACGGTGAATCCACCACCTCTCTGGGCAGACCATTCCAATGCCTGATCACTCTCTCTGGAAAGAACTTCTTTCTAATATCCAACCTAAACCTCCCCTGGCAGAGTTTAAGCCCGTGCCCTCTTGTCCTACTGCTGATTGCCTGGGGTGTTCCATTCTGTACTTATATTAAGTTACCTGTGATGCACAGGCAAGGTCTGATTTCTGCTGTGAAGGTGAAATGCGTAAGCTGCAGTTGCATACTTGCTTGAGTAGAAATGGATTTGCTTAAAAGGGACTGTGATACGGACAAGCACACTGATGTGAGCAGTAACCGTGAATATATGCTGGAATGGATAAGAAAACTGGACTGCCAACTGCACTATGTTGGTTGTTAAATTACTGGTAGCTGTCTTTGCACTTTTGGTGTATATATGAGCCTGTATGGATACATAAGTGTGTTAGAGTCATAACTGTATTTTGTGTTTAAAAAATCCCCAACAAACGATCTGAAGTTTAGATTGCCAAGTACAGTCCATAATTGCATTTCTCATTGCTTTTCAAAGTGATTTCAATTATTAACTTCCATGTCTTGAAATCCCATTAAAAAGAGATAAAATTTGAGGCAGTGAGAACAAGGGCAGTCATTCAGCTTGATTGCATGGAGTTAACATTGAGAAGCACCTTTACTGTGTTCTTTCTGTTGCTGTATAATACAGTTAGGAAACAGTTAAAAAATTGTCACCATCCCTTATGGATTTGTATGGACACTGGGGTTTCTAATTCCTCAAACAGTATTGCTCATGTTCTTAAAACAGAATTCCAGTTGTTGTTTTCAGTTTATTTGCTTAAACTGAAGTGTCTTTATAGGTTTTAAAAATAAGGTCTTTCATGGGATTTGTATGTTGGCCTTTTTTTTTCAATATATCCTGCACTGTCATCATGCAACATGAAGGTAACACTTTTTAGTTTTAGATTTTTTTTTCCCCTGAAATTATGTTACAGTAAAAATCTCAATATTTTATAAGCGTTGAGTTTTTCTGTTAGTCTTGTGATGTGCAAAATCTGCCTGTGGAAAATAGAGGACAATAGCTTTTGAATTTATTCTTAGGAAAAGTTGCTGTGATAAACTTACGATATGTTTGTTCTCTTGTATATTAAGAGTAGCAGTGTTCATACTTGTTCTTCTGTGAGGTATCACAAAAATAGTGGAAAATAGCAGTGGGTTCATCCTGTCCCCCACAAAGCCTGTGTTTATTTCTTTCCTACAGTTCCAAAGGCAAAGTACTCCTGGGTGTACCGAATTCTCCTATTACTGTTCGTATTGGTGGCCATCTGCTAATTTATAATTTAGTCTCTGTCTTTCCAAAGCTATTGCATTTAAAAAGATCGCTATGGCTTTATTAAGCTGTTACGTTCGAGTGATCTGTTGCTTTAAATCGTTCTGAAACTGGAGAACAAATTCTTGAAGAGCTGACTTGTAGGGTTTATTTGAAACCTTACTTAGCCATGTGGAAAAGGAACTGTTTTGAGAGACTCGGAACATTTTGAAAAACTTGCTAAATGTTGTGCTGACATATACAAGGCTTTTGTGCCAAGTTTCTCAGCTGAATTATCTGATGGCTCTGACTTTCGCCTGCCACATGGTACCCAGGGTTTCTGTGAAGTAAAGCATAGCCGGGACAAACAGGGAAATAACACGGACATAAGTGTATGCTCCTTAGCAAACAGTTGCTATGGTTTTATTCCTGCCCCCTGGTAAAAATATAGGAATGGGTTCTCTTCATCTGCATTCTAATCTTTCAAATCTTAATATTTAATTTTTTCTAGTGCTTTTAAATTTTTCTTTCTGTTTTCCCAGGAAAACTAAATTCTCAGTTTAAAACATGTTTGAGGACAACATTAGTGCAATTCCAGGAACTTCAGCTGTGATTAAAAATACAGACTCTTGTGAGATTTTCGACGTATGCTGTTGTCATAACTGGGGTTTTTTTTCCTGTTCTTTGTGCTAAAAGTAAATGTAGGTCATGATTTGCATCAAGAGAACATGGTACTGAATGGTGTGAACATGGCTCAGGTAATAAAAGGCTGGAACATTTAACAAATGTTTTGGGTTTAAAAAAATAAATTATTAGAATACCAACCATTTTGCTACTTTTAGCAGCTTTTTCCAGTAATTTTATTTCTTACATGTCAAGTGCAGACGGTTCTGTGCAGATTACAATATATTCTGGCTCAGGACTCTTTTTTGAGGGGAGCGTGGAGAGGTTGGTTTCTTTCTTTCGTTCTTTGTAATTCTGCGAAAACTCCAAGCATCTGAGAGGCAGACTGAAACATGTTCACAGTTTTATGATTAATCCAGTGTAAGTGCTGCTGCTGAAAGGGGCATACTGCTGCTGCTTTCATGCTGACACAGGGAATCGCTGTAGAATTGCTCTGATTGAACACTGACTAGTCTCTGCCAGGCAAGCATTCAGCCAGAGCAGTTTCTTGTTCCACTTCATTACATGGTTGCACAAACTATAGTTCCAGACAGAAGTGAAGGTGGAAATGAGCAGTGGCAGTATGAGAAGGGACCTTTTAACAGAAATACCAGTTTGCAGAAGACAAAGTTGAAGCCATTACCCCTGATTTTCTTGCTGACTTGCTTGCCTGTAACGGGCTTCATTGCTCATTTCATGTTTTTTTATGACAGTAAAAAGGGTAAACTGGTGGAAGTTCTGTATCTAAATGTGATAAAATGTCACAAACCCATGACAAGAAGCTTCACAAGTAGCTGGAGTAATTTTCTTGTTCTTCAGGAGAAGTTGCATAACTGTATGCTAAAATTTCTTAGTAACTGTGCAGGATGGCTAATTGATTTTTCCCTCAGTAGTCAGTACACTTATTATTCAAAAGCTTTAGAAGTATTGTAAACTGTGAAGATGAAAAAATACCTTTTTTGTATAATTTCAGTAAGAAAGAGCAGGATAAGAAGAGGAAGATGGTAAACCAGGTTGTAGGAAACAGAATTACACCGCCTCCACCAAACCACCGTTCTGTTAGCAGAGGCCAGTATTTCTGCAGTTACCAGACTAGGGCATTCTGAATTCGAGAACCTTCTCAATCTTGGTGCACTTATTATTTGTTAGTATCCATGGACTACTACTCCTTGATTGCTGGAACCTTTGCAGCTGTGGCATTCCTGTTTTCAAAGATGGGAGCCAGACTTCCATTATTTGGTTAGCTTTGTAGATGGGATCCCCAGAAATCTGGTGGTAGAGAGAAAGGGATCTAAAGCAAGGTGGTCCCTATCTTCCTGTAGGGGTACAACAGTATGCAGGTTTATTCCTTGGCAACCACTGTTTAAATACTTCTTACACATCTTCTAAAAATACATTTAATGAGAATCAAGTACTTGAAATTATACTTGAGATACTTGAACATAAGCTGCCAGCTAGTTTGTTCTTAATAGAAACTTGTGTTTCACTACTTTAACATTATATGCTTAGTGAACATTGGTGATGTTGGAAGAACAACTATTTCCAGATCTGGAATGTGCAGCTGAGCAGTGATGTGTGCTGCCTGATCAGCTGATGAAATGTGGGTTTGGATGTGTGATTTTTGTAAATGACTTCCAGATGTTACAGTTGCCAGCTGAATGTTCAAGACTGCACTGTTAGGTCTAGTTATGAAATAAAATGGATGAAATGTGCAGAAGATAAAGTACTGAGCCTGTATTTGTAATTGTTCTCTCTCTCTCTCTCTCTCTCTCTCTCTCTCTCTCTCTCTCTCTTTCTCTCTCTCTTTCTCTCTCTCTTTCCCTCTCTCTCTCTCTTTCCCTCTCTCTCTCTTTCCCTCTCTCTCTCTTTCCCTCTCTCTCTCTTTCTCTCTCTCTTTCCCTCTCTCTTTCCCTCTCTCTTTCCCTCTCTCTTTCCCTCTCTCTTTCCCTCTCTCTTTCCCTCTCTCAGAAAAAAAAGAAAGAGAAAAAAGAGAACAGAATGATATAGTGAAATTACTCATAAGAAGTGGCAGAAAAATACAGATGCTTTTAGATTGGGATATCTGCATGAACTTATAATCTGTGAAGACCTTGAATGGTCTTATAGCAAACACAAAGCAGTTTTCTGTGTAGCTGCTGTGTCAGGAGCTTTGAGTTACCCCTTATATCACCCTAAGCATGACTGTTACAGTGCTAGAACTGAAATATAATTGCTGACAGCATCTTTCAATATCTTTTTTGAGCAGCAGAAGTCAAAGGTTTTTTTGGAGTCTCCCTAGAATTTTCATGAATTCTCTATGTAGGAATTTTTCTATTTGCAAATATTTCTTCAAAAGTTCTAAATCGTCATAGTTGTTGAGGGAAGGGGTTGTGTTTGAAAGCAGAATGTTTGATTTCTGTCTCTTTTTTTTTCCCCAGGAAGTACTGACGTAACCATGATAGAAGACAAAGGTCCACGGGTGGCTGACTACTTTGTAGTGGCAGGGCTCACTGATACAGATACGGCAACCCTGCTGGACCAAGAAATAAGCCGACATGAAACAAAGTCGTCTGGTCCAAAGGCTCCAATTACTGACATTGCTGTGATAATTAAATCGGCTGGTGAAACTGTCCCAGAGGGATACACCTGTGTTGAAGCCACTCCTACTGCCCTTCAAGCCAACTTAAACTATGGAAGTCTAAAGAGTCCTGAACTTTTTCTTTGCTACAAGAGAGGGCGGGACAAACCACCTCTTACTGACATCGGGTGAGATTATTAGCACAGTTCAGTTCCTCCTTCAATAATGATCAAATCTTACTCTTCATAGGTGATGATGAAAACAGACGTGAGAAAGCTTTTTAAAAATGCACTGTTTGAATCTGGAATAGGTTGAACAAAGTGTCAGTCTTTTAGTGAAGTTATCTTTTTAAAATTAATAGTAATGGTTTAGTTTAAAAAATGAGAGGGAGAGTGATGCAGCAAAGCAAATATGAGAAATCAAGTTCTCTGATGCAGTTTTATGAAAGGTAAGAAAATAGCACAAAATTAAGTTACAGAAATAGTATAGTCCAAATCCAGAAATATTAACATGCTTAATCTGAAAACAGTGACTTCAGGAGACAGAAATTACCACCTTGTGGAATTCAGTTTAATGCTCATAGTAAAAGATACAACTTAAGAATGTATAAGGACATTTTAGAACTACTGGGGATATAATAAGAAAGAGAAAAGAGAGCACGGGTGGGAGTGCTGTTATGACTATGGCAAAATAAGGAATGCATGTGTTTTTCCTTAGTTACTAAATAAATAGTAAATAGTAGAGTAAAAGTCATGCATCTCTATGTAAGCTATCATGAGTTTATTTTTTTTCATTTATAAGCTTAAATGTATTAGGCATAAAGCCTATGTTTGCCATTTTTGGCCTGTAGTTTGAGTGCCAACTGACAAGCAGGGTCCAGTCAGGAGGAGACTGATACTGAAATCTTAGTAATGCAAGTAGTTTCATGGTACGACAGTTTTCTCAAAGAGTTACAGTTCATGTTAAATAATTAACCTGGTACATTCTAATTTCTGTTCATCTTGCTCATCTAAACTATGTTCTAATTGTCTTGAGCAAAACTGATTTTTAAAATAATCTTTTTCTATGGGTGCGACTGGCACTGCGAGAAGAGATGTTGCAGTGTGAAGTTATTCTTTGAATGGTAGTTCTAGCAGAAGGAAGAATTTTTACAGTAAGTGATTCTTCTAGGGAATTGCTGAACAATCAGTCTTTGGCATGTGGCTTTAAGGAAGCAACTTGACTAGCACATTTATCTTTGTGTCTCCCACAACCTTAGGAGCTTGAATGCCTGGGGAGATTTTGTAGGGATTACCTGCTAAACAAAATACACAAATAATTGGCTAAGATGGTGATATTGGGCAAATAGTATTTCTAGTTAGTATTTGATCTAACTAATGTGTCACTCCTGAAACATCATGGAAGGCTTTTCTCTCTGAGCAGTGATGAATATTTTCCCCTGGCTGTTCCTTTTATTTTGCACCTGTGTGCAAGGGATGGTTAGAGCAGTCTTTTTTGTGTATGTGAATTCCAATGTGTTCAAATGGAAGTGGCGTTTGAGTAAGAGATGTATGTACAGTCTGAAGGCTAGGTTATGTTGTTCTCTATTATTTTAATTAAAAACCCAAGTGTGACAGAATATTTTACCTTTAAGCCTGTCTGACATGCTAAGTGAACATAGTAGGTGGAGAAAGAGTACATCCTTTGTTGCCCTTTGAAAGGGTATAGTGCATAGTCCTGTGTCAAGGTTGTAAGTATTATATAAAAATGAGTTATTTTGTAGTCCAAGCATTCAGATGATTCTTGGTAAGTGTTTGTGTGTGTCTGCGTATTTCTTTCTGCTAGGGAAAGTAGTTAAACAAATGCTGTTTGAAGAAGAGGGAAGTTGGGGCTATGCTCTGCCATTTCTCTGCTATGTCCTTGAGTTCTATATTTCTCTGCCCTCTATCCTTGTTTCTTCCTATCTGTCCTCTGGTTCTTAAACTGAAATGTCTGTAATCTGCTACAGTGACTTCCTGCTGCAGGTGCTTACTTGAATATAGTTAGGCCATGTGCCATGCCTCTGGATGTTGCATTTCCTGGAATTAATTGGATTAATTATTGGGAAAAATATTAGTTGGAAATTATTTGGAAAAATAAAGGTTCAACCCAGGATAAGAGATCTCTGAGATCCTTTTCCTACATGTAGTTGTAAAATCTAGTATCTTATGCTTATATATCTATGAAACAATTCAGCTACAGTCATTCCATTGCTTTCCTAACTGATTTTTTTTTTGATGTTCCAGAAATAACAAGAGATTTGAGTTTTGTTTGTGTTTCGGTGCAGTGACACTTCAAAACATTTCACGTCTCTCTGTTTTTTGCTTGATTGAAATCCTTAACTTGAGTTAGGGATATATTAGAGCTCTTGTACTTCTTTTTTTAAACAGAAGAAAACCTTACAGAAATTTAGGTGGTTTTGAATTTGTAATACTTAGTGTAGAAAGGACCAAGGAAAGAATATCGAACTTATCTCAGGCAGAGGATCTTGTATTACCGAATAATGCAAAAGTTAGGTAACTTGCATTGTGTAAAGAAAGAAATGCCAATTTTTAAAAAAAAAAATCTTTTTTTTTTTTTTTTTTGTTTCAAACTAGTATGGGAAGCTTTAGATTGCTTAGTGATTCCATGAACCACCTTTGTGGTTCTGGGTATAAGGACACTTTTAATTCCTGTATACCTGTTTTCTGAAAGTCTGCAGGAGTATCAATTGAACAAATGATTTTTTTAATTGAAGATGTATTTCAGAAAAGAAAGTGAATGCAAATTTCAAGGAACTGGAATAGAAACTGGAAGATCTCTTAACAATGAGCATCTTCTATTGTTCCTTAAATCCCACCGGTGTGACAACTGCAGCTGGATGTTCAGAACAGCTTAGGGTAATAATAATGGTGAAACTAGTGATTCGTTCGTTTAGACAAATAGTAATAGTGGTGGCAGTAGAAATAAAAGAGAAGTCTATCTCTTCCCTTTGCTTGACCTACCATTTTTCTGACCGTCCTGATGCCTAGCATATATATATTAGTTCCTTTATCATTCAATGCTTGCAAACCTCTTTTTCTTAAATTAAATAGGAAGAGATGTTATAAAGGCTTATTTTGCATAAGAACTGTGAGCAGAAATATGGTTGTACGTAGAAGATGAGTCAAACTGGACAGCAGCCCTAGACACAATGCAAACTGCAACAGTCTGCCTGTTTTGAAATGGTTTTCCAGAAGGAAAGGTTGCTGTGATTTAAGGTTTTTAACTCAACAGCCACAAGAAGGTAGTATTTCTTCCTTCTAAACTCTTCTATCTGATGTGTTGAAGAATGCCTTTACATCAGTAAAACTGCTCATGAGAGAACTTCCACATACAATATCAAACAGCCTTACAAAGAGAGGATAAGATTTTTTTGGTCTTTCTTACAAAGAAGAGACCTAACATCTAGAGTAAAGTTTATATTTCATATATAGATTTATATTTTGCTTGAAATGAAACAGTATTGAAGTTGATAAAATATTGTAGCAAATAATGTGTACCTAATTAGGATCGAGGCCAAACTGTATGCTTAGAGAAGCAGGAAAAAAATCTAACCCTGATCAGTACTAATTAATCAAAGGCAGGTGCTGGGAAGTAGGAACAAGTAGGAATACACTTACACTGTCAGGGAGGATGTTACTTATAAAGGGTGCCATGTTCAGTATTTCATGCATCACTTCCAATTGCTTTTCTCTAAATCATTAAAACCATCGTTTAATTTGAGTGATCCATGTGTGGTGGTTTGCTTCCATTTGCTTGCAAATACAAAACCGCACCGTATGTAGCATGAAGTCAGGAAATGGTGTGGGTTTAATAATACTGCTCCAGTGAATATGTAGAGGTAAGTGTTACTTTCATTTTCATTTTGCTGTTGAGGAGAGGTGACCCTACTCTTACAGTCTTGAACACTGGTCAGGCCTTTAAGTATTCTTCTGAGAAAACTTGCAAATTTCCTAAATTGAACTGCTGGAATTGTCTGATTAATACTGTGTTCCTTCTCAAAGGAACACAGTATTGTTTCTGGAACAAATTTTTATTTTGGATTTTATTTAAAATACATGAAACTGAATTGAAACTTCTGTTTGGAGACTGCTCTGTTAAAAATTTTCTCCAGATTAAGATTCTGATTGGCAGTGATGTGAAAAGTTCATGTAAACTCTTTATGCACAATCAATGTGGCCTGAGAGCTTGCTGCCGTTGTAGTTGTTGGGATTCTGTTTTTGTTGGTTCTTTTTTAACTTCATGAAGTAGGTAACCCAATAAAAAGTGGAAAATACATGTTCTTCCAGAACATTACTTAGTTTAGAAATGATTTAATTAGCATGTACTTTCTCAGTACATATCTTGATAGGTAGTGCATTAAAACTAATGTTTCAGTTGGAAATGCTGGTATTAGGCTGGTTTTGAGCCTGAGATTACACATTGTTTTAAATGTTTTAAATGAGTCTGATGATCAGATTGTCTACAACTGAAACTCTTGTTGAAGATTATCATCCTACATGAACTAGTTGAGTAAATTTCTGTGAAAGCCTGGTAGCTACATCACTAAACTACCAACTCATGTGATTTCTTTGCTTTTTTAAAGTATTCTAGTTCATGTATATGATCAGTGCAATAACAAGGTATGTGTTCGTTCTGTTGAGTCAGAATAAACAGTAATATTTCTGTATTCCAGTTTAAAGACGGGAATAGTGTTTAAGTACTATTGAAAGTTTAATTATATATTTATTTTTTTAAAGTTCTGAGAATGATTGGATATGAAAAAACTTTCTTTTTTTTGAGCTTAGACACATAACTTTTTGAAGTTTTCAAATACATACTTACTTGTAGTATGCCAAACATTTAACCAAGGGTATTTTGGGACAGTAAATATGTATTACCTGCTTATTTTTTATTTTGAAATTGTGAGGGACTACGTGTGGGAAGCTGGAGATCACAAAATACAAGATGTTATTGTATTACCTTTATCCTTAATCTTGTAATGATGAAAACTGATTTGCAAGTGGAATTACTGTGTACATATTGCAGGGAGCTGAACCACTGGTTACTGGGGTGTTGAATGGGAGATAAAGCTTGCCCTTTAATAGCATCTGTGCATTAAAAATGTTCAGTGATGTTTGTTTTGACTTCCACATTTCTTCTCATAGTGACTTCTCAATAGCTTTATATTTGGAAGAGGAAAGCTTTAGCTCATTTAGCTGCTGTGAAGCTGTAAAGGCTTTTTCATTTTTTTGCTAAGAATACAGTGATCTAAACTAGTGATCTTGCTAAAAAAAATAAAATCCATGCAGCATGTAAATGTTGTTGTACAGCCACACAAGATATGTTCTAGGAGTACAAGCTACTGTAGTTATTATTTATTCCTTCTCTGCGGAGCAGAGTTTGAGTTTGTCTCCCTGCTCCGTTGTCCTGAGGAGTGTTATTCAGACTGTGAATGTCAGTTATTACTGTGTTTGGATTAATTTTTTTCCTGGAAAAATTCATCTAGGAAGCAGTCTACCTTGTTCTTTTCCAAGAGTATTTCTTAAAAACAAACAAAACCAAAGCCTACCAAAAAAACCTCTCCAAAAAACTCTGAAACAAAACAACAAAAACCCCAAAACAACCAATTGGAAACAAACAAACAAAGCCCCAAACCGAAACAAAATTCCTACCCACAAAAGAAAAAAACAGAAAAAGACAAGTTTTAAATGACTTACCAGACATTTTAGTGATGAAATTGTCAGGTGTCGTCTGGAAGCAACTTAAGGCTTACTTTGTATTTATTTTTCATTCATAGTGCAGCATTTCTACTAGTTCTATAACTAAATCCTTTTCAGTGTGTCTTGGTTTTTATTTTTCCATAATTCTCATTTATTCCCACAATTCTGTATAATTTTAAATATTTTGGAGAAGTTTCTTTAACCTCAAGTGCTGCATGATGAAAGATAGTATATAAAATGTACATTAGAAAGTTGCAATGATGACATAGAGTGCTAATGCATGGACGGTTTCTCTGAATTTGTCCAAGTAACTTCATATATATCTGAATGCACATCATACTATGTTTCCTTCATGTCTGCAGAGTTCTGTATGAAGGGAAGGAACGCATAATTGCAGGCTGCGAAGTGATCCAAGCTACTCCTTATGGTCGTTGTGCTAATGTGAACAACAGCTCAGCTTCTTCTCAGCGGATCTTTATCACGTATCGAAGGGCTCCTGCAGTACGACCTCAGAATTCATTGGCAGTGACAGATATCTGTGTTATTGTTACCAGCAAAGGAGAAACTCCTCCTCATACATTCTGTAAAGTTGATAAGAATTTAAACTGTGGTATGGTGAGTATTTATAAGCTTGAGTCGCTTTTTTTTCCTCTTTTTAACCCAACAAATACACCTAAAGAAGCAGCTTCTTGAACTTTTCTTAGCACTGTTGTAATTGTGTTCTATCACTACATTGTAATTCATTCTTCATAACATGTGTGAGTCTTCAGTTTTGTTGCCTTGATTTCCTGTCTTGTTGGAAATTACTGTTTCATACTGATTACTCATGTCTTTCATTTGCATATGCATGTCTAGGTGCTATTTAGGAGTAGTGCACTGGAATTTTTTTTTTTTTAATTATTATCTCTCCCCCACCCTTTGTTGATGCTGACAGTCAGGATGAATCAGAAACACTTTTTTCTTAGTTGTTAATAATGCTTGTCTTCCTAAGAAAGACGTAAGAATGATAATTACTGCTTACAGTTGCTCCATGTGCTTTGCTTTAATTGGTTCTCTTTTACCTAGTCTGTTTTGCATTTAGTTTACTCAGACTGGAATAAGTGGGTTTTTTGAATGGTAGAGCTTGTTTAGAGAAGCTGCAAAAATACTATGTCAATAACCCGTTTATGGAAGTATGATAGAAGCTTAAAGTGATGATTATTAGAATTTCAGTTCCTCAGTGAGGTTCCTGTAAGATTCTGCTTTTAAATAACCATAAAAATGTGAAACCACAAATTTGGCTTGTTCTTTTGTCGGAATAAATCAGGGAGTAATGTGGTGGGGTCATTATTTTATGTAAATCCTGTAATCTCTAAAAAAAATGAGAGAAGAGTGAAATCTCGTTTTTGTCATTTACATGCACTCTGTGGCCAACCAGACTGTATTTCTGTGTTCTGTAATGCTTTTTATTAAAATGTCTGACTTGTTTGTAAGTGGGAATATATTCTAGTGCTTATACTTGATTTCTGTTGCCTTTTGTTATCTTTGCTGGTTCTGAGATGAAACTTTTGTCTTCCAGTGGGGTTCCAGTGTATACCTTTGTTACAAGAAGTCTGTGCCAGTTTCTAACTCTTTAGCGTATAAAGCTGGTACGTAATTTTAGAAGCTGTCAAAACAGAAGGATTCAAATGCTTTGTTGAAATAGAATAATAATTTTAAAAGCTTAAGTACTGTCTGTTAGAATTTTGTTCCTAGAGGATGTCAGTTGAAATTAACTCCTATAATGCCTTCTTTGCTCTCTTCACTTTTTCCTGAGGCAAAAAAAAAAAAAAAAGTCTTAATGGGAATAGCATTTTCCTGTATTATTTTAGTTCTTATCTTGGCTTGGTAGATTAGAAACTTTAGCAGAAACCTTAGCAAATATTTCAGATGCAACAAAAGACAAAACTTGTGTTGGTGGTATTCGAGAAGGAGTACCAAAAAATTCTGTTCAGCTTTACTCATATTTCTTTTTATGTCTCAACATCTTTCATTTTATTTGAAAGTTAAATGTATTTCTTCCCTTCAGTTCCACAACTATTCTGTTGTTCCTTATTTGAGGAGATTGAAAAATATTCTGAACAATAAATGACAAGTCTGGCTTTTGTAAGTTTTTTAATGCATTGCTACAGATTTCTTTTTTGTTTTTGAAGAAACAAAAAAAAAAACTTTCATAACTGTTTCTGCTCAGCACTAAGTGCACCAAACTCCTTTGAAAGGAGTAAACTACCAAACAGAAGTGAAAAGTATAGATAATGAAGTCAGTGTACCATAAAACAAGCTAGATGAGTAGCAATAGTAAACCAATGTTTATGTGCGTATTTTCTACCAGCAAGAGTCTGAAAGCTGAATAAACAATTTGTTGAAACTGAACATAGTGACTTGAGAGCAGAACATGCAGTCATTTAGTTCATCCTGCATTCCATGAAGGTATTACTGCTGTTTTTACAGTAGATAATCACTTTCTTCATAGGAATTTCTTGTAATAAAATCCATTCCAGTGGCACATTTAAATAGCACATCAACCCAACTGGTTTGATGTAAAAATCTTCAGTGTGTACTGGTTACCAAAAGGTAAAATCAATCAGTAATTCATACTCTATTTTCAGATGGTTGTTACTGGAAACACTTAGTCTCACTGTCATATAAGAGACTTTCTTCTTTGCAGATGTAATCTTCAATTATGAAGTCCAGATAACCATCAGATCTAGCTATCTATTTTGGAAAATATATTGCTTACATTATTTAGGGCTTACAGGACAAATCCACTTACTTTTCCTTTTCCCATTCTTCAGGCTTAATTTTCAGATATCCTCAAGAGAACTATGAATCATTCCCACTGTCGGAATCTGTTCCTCTCTTCTGCCTTCCCATGGGAGCCACTATTGAGTGCTGGGACTCTCAAACCAAATATCCACTACCAGTGTTCTCAACATTTGTACTGACCTGCTCTTCTGCAGAAAAGGTATGGCTCCACACTGTGAACTTGTTTTTTTCTTTTATTTCAAATGGCTGTTATGGAGATAAATAGAGATTGTTTCTTTTGTATTTTAGAAATACTACAAAATAAATTGTTAAATACTTCCCCTCTAAAATTGTATTTCTTAAGCCTTCATGTAAGATGAAAGTAAACCAAAACAGGAAATCGATGGAAGAGTATGTGAGTATGTGCTGTTTAGTCCCATGTAGGCTGAATCAGATACCCTTAATAAAAGTAAAACTCACAGCACATGGATTTCCCTGTTGTTTCAAGGAAGGAGTTTCTGGGAATGGAATTGTACTCTGCATATAAAATAGAACTTAGGATGTGTGTTAGCAATGTTTAAGTTCTTAAAGTTTTCATATGGTTATGTTAAAAGCCACTTCTTTGTGAATTTGTGTAATTGGGCTCTGTGGGTGTTTATGCTCATGAATTGGAAACTAGTTACCAGAAAACAGGAGAGCAGGGAGAGAAAGAGTATGTCCTGAGAGGTGAATAAGTGAAAGATTCTAATGATCTCCCAAGACTAGTGATCCTTCTGAATTTGTATGAAGTGACAGATTCAGAACATGATCTGTCTTCTGAATCTGTATAAGGCCACCAACACACACAGGCACCAAAAAGATATTGCATGACTTGGCCCACATATGGGAAGGCAGTGTCTGCTGTACATAGACAGAGACTACAGGATTATAGGTACATCTGATGAAGCCAGAGAACCCTTACTTAGGATTGGTCTCCCAGGTGTTGTTTCAGCTTGCCAACTTGTGTGTGTCTGTGTTTGTGTGTGTGTGAACTGCATAAGGGAATAAGTGATTGTAATGTGTGATTATTTTTCTGTGGTTAATGAATAGCAGTTTGGCTCTGTTAGTGATAACAGCTCAACTTCCACTGTCTCACTCCCCTAATAAATTCCCTAATAGGAAATTTATGTATTTTTCCATTTCCAAATAGAAAAAAGATATTTCTCCAAAATATGAACACTTATTTTACAAGGAAGGATGCATATTTTTCTTACCATGTCCTTTTGCTAAGCTTGGCAGAATACTTTGGTTGATTATGAAACTTTGACAAATAGGAAACGAATATTGGAAAAGGTTTAACTTGATAAAATAAGTGAAATGAAAGCTAGAATAATTTTGTTGTTTAGTTTGGTAATGATAGGGGAATTTATTGAACACGAACATTTCATGAGAGTTGAGGGTTTGAGGGTTTTTTGGTTTTTGTTTTTTCTTTACCCTCATTGTTAATGGATAGAGTTCTGTCACGGCATGCAGTTTGGTTCCTTCCCTTCAATTTACTTATATACATATATAAAAGTATGAATATTTTATTTAGAAAAGTGCAATGAAAGTGGGGAAGAGAGACACGAGAGTCCAAACTATTTTGTTTATAAGGGTGCTTTCTGTGTTACGTAAATGAAAAGTCATTTCGTAAGGTACCAGCAAAAGCACTATAGGGTGTGCAAACAGGAAAGACTGAAGGATGCTTTAAAAGTTCTAACCCGATCTCTTGTTAAATACTGGGTATGCTTAGCTGTTTTCCTTCGTCTTTTAGGTATATGGTGCTGCTATTCAGTTTTATGAGCCGTATCCCCGGGAGCTGCTAACAGAAAAGCAGCAGTCGCAGCTGGGTCTCCTGACAACTGTAGAGAGGAAAGTGATTACTTCCAAGTCCATCAATTCGAACAAATGCATCTGCCTTCTCTCACACTGGCCTTTCTTTGAAGCATTTCGAAAATTTCTTATGTTCATCTACAAACTGTCTGTCTCTGGACCTCATCCTCTTCCCATTGAAAAGTATGTAGAACATTTCTAAAGTTGTTGTGGGAGTGTAGTTATCAGCTCAAGAAATCATGTGATTTATGAATGTCACACTTGCCTAGTTGGTATAGTTGATGCATCATCTTGCTTGCACTGTTTAGCTTATTTTGTACTGATAGAAATTATTGCTCTTCTGTTTAATAGTACTGGCTCTTGCAGTGCCAGCAAGTTAACTGGATATTACTTTGGATTTTCTCTTAAAATATGTCAGGTGTGTTTTCCTTTTTTTTTAGCTACATCAAACGCAGAAAATGGCTGAGCTGTGATACATGCTACATTTGCAGTCCTGCATTTTAGCTTAATAAGTATAAATTTCGGAATGCTGGAGGGTAGCAATGAGTATGTGTATCCAAGCACTGCAACTAACGCAGATTGTTTCTGTGTGTGTGTAAAACCTCTGCAGAGGATGCTTTTCAGGGTCCTTGAAGTTTACTGAAATACAGAGTTACTTTCAAAACTGTGAGACTGCTGGCAGTGAGGTATGTAGCTCCTCCTAGCGAAGTCTCTTTAAAAACTAGAGTGGAGTTAGGCTGCTTGGGATTTTAAATGGCTTGCCTAAATGCCCTTGTATTCTTTCCTTTGACATATCAGAAATTGTCAGTATTACTCACATTTCATGCTTGGAAATTGAATGGAGAGTCTTTGTTTCTGTTTCCGTTGGGCTCTTAAACATATCACAACAGTAAATAAATCTTAACAGCCTTTCTAAAACATGGTACAATATTAATTCCAAAATGTGGTTAACATTGTTTTGAGTCACTCATTACACCCTAGTGCTGGTTTGCTAACATCTTGTCTACTTTGCAGGCACATATCCCATTTTATGCACAATATACCTTTTCCTTCACCACAAAGGCCAAGAATTCTTGTGCAGGTAAGCAAAACATTTGCAACCATTTTTAACTCCAGTAACGGCAAACCCTCTTTCTTTGGTTTCTTTCTTTAGGCTTTTTGCTTGGCTTTGAATACCCACCTTCTGGAAAGGAACAGGGAGGAGATGATTGGGTTGACCTTCTGTCTTGTGAATATAAACCTGGAACAAGTTAGCAAAGGAGACACTTTCAGGCTTCAGGTGGTGTACGTGGCAGCAGTGTCCTACTTGCACTTCTAAAATTTCTGCCTCGTACTACCCGTCCTTGTATAGACACTATTTGTGTTATCTCACCGGTAGGGTTGTTTTCTAGGTTTCATGCACTTGTCCATCCACTGCTATGGGTCAGAGTCTAGTCCCCTGGGGCATTGTGTCTTGTGTTTCTCTGTTTAATCACCTAGCAGCCACGATGTCCAACCCTGAGTCACAGACAATTTTTTGTTATTCTGAGAGTTGTTTCAGTGACTGATACAAGCTCTGTTCACCTAGTGAGCATAAGTCTCAAAGATTGTCTCTGATATGTGACATTGTGTCTGTCTGCCAGGCAGTTCATGAGAGTATGGATATACATTTGTATTGGAATATTATACTGTATTACCTTTGGAGTTGTCTGTACCAATCACATACTACTTTATGTGTTTCAGCTTTCTGCCCATGATGCATTAATATTGTCACAGCCAGTTTCTACACCATTGCCATTAAGGTATCATTCATTACTAATGCTTTAAATGTATGCTACTTGAAAAATTCAGAGGCAAATAGTAGTCAGTTGTAGTAGGAAGTCAAGTATTGTTAGACATTCTAAACAGAAAGTTCAGTATGCATTTACAAGGTTATTGAATGTTGTCATCTGACATAAGTGTGTCCGTTTTGGAAGTGTAGTATCACTCATTATCCTGAAATAAATATGAATTAAAATATTATTGTAGGAACTCTGAAGGAAATAGAAGGTGGCTATGAGGAAAAAAATACATGTATTTAAAGATCTTGTATTTGAGAACCTGTGTAGTAAGCAGTTTTGTGGGGTTTTTTTAGTAGTATAGAGACTGTTGTTTTCGGTTTTTTCCTTTTTCGGATCCAAGAGAGACAATTACATCCAGTAGTTAGGTGAAATGTGTGAATGCTCAGGTGCACGTTTCAGAAATTCAAAAGTACACCTAAAAAATGGGTGTTTGTGATTGAAGGTTGATTGAAGGCAGTGTCAGTAAATACCGCCTGCATCTTCTGAGTTAGAGCTCCCTGTGATAGTGACATGAGGCTTTGTTTTGATGGTTTTGTTGACTTTTGGTTTGTTTTTAGGTTAAAAACCAAAATATTCTCCCTTTTTATTCTCTGCACCCCAAAACATTATTGTATAATATTCTTTATGCAGAAGAATCCCCTGTTTAATCACATCTGTTACACAGGTACTTGAGTGAAAAATCACAACCAGCCACCAAATTGCAAAGTAACATATAAGCAGTTTTCTAAGAACAGATTTTACGCCCCTGTGCTCTAATAGATGTCATTGCAATTTCTAAATGCATACAGTCCAAACAAATGAAATGGAGTCTAAACGGTAGAAACTAAACGCGTTTTGCTATCAAAATGGTGGATTAATTTTGCTTGACTTGTATTAGAATTCGATACTGTGATTCTAAGATCAGATGGATGCTCCAGTTCATGATTTTTGCCTGAGGTAACCCATCATACGAAACTGCTTGTGTTTGTGTTTGAATTAGCTGTTAACGAGTTAGATTTGTTTTACAGTTATGAAGACAAGATGCCTAGGTATCTATGAGAAAGAGTGCCTCAAACAACACAAATGCAGTGGTAGAATGGTTTAGTGTAACTTTCTTTAGCAATAGAATTTGAATTTGGCTTTCGTTGTGGTAATGTAAGTCTTATAATGACATGAGAACTGTTAGTTAGATAGTTAGGTATTTGATGTGAGGTAATATTAGTACCATTCAACTAGTTGATTCCAGCAGTTGTCAGAATTTTAATAGTACTGACTTTTTTTTTAAACCTGGTAACATTCTTCTTTTCTTCCCCTTTCCATGCACTCCTTAGTGGAGCAAACTTTAGCACTCTGCTTATGAATCTTGGACCAGAGAACTGTGCCACTCTATTACTCTTTGTATTACTAGAAGGCAAGATCCTGCTCCATTCTCTTAGACCAGCTGTGTTGACAGGAGTTGCTGAAGCTGTAGTAGCTGTAAGTACAAACTGTTCTGTACAGCAAGGAGAGAAATTGGTTTAAATACTACAGTTGTTACAAGGCTTTTTAAAATTAAAATTACTGATGTACTAGATGGTAGTTTTTCCTAGCAACACCATTTAATTCAAGTGCTGTAGCTAATAACTGTTAGGTCATAATTTTTGCATATCTAACTAAGAGATGTGCTGTATATAGGTTATCAAATTTGGGGACATTTTTCTGACAGTATTGCAAAGCTTTTAGCAATTTCATTTCAGTGTGCTGCATGTTACTTCTTGATTTTTATTATACAGTATCCGTTCTCTTGTTTTATTGTGCTATTTTAATTTTTCCTTCAGATGATATTTCCATTTCAGTGGCAATGTCCATATATCCCTCTCTGTCCTTTGTCTCTGGCCACCGTACTCAGCGCACCAGTTCCATTTATTGTTGGAGTTGATTCACGATACTTTGATCTGTACGATCCACCACAGGATATTGTTTGCGTTGACTTAGACACAAACATGGTGTACATGTAAGTTCTGTGGAGATTTTACATTTATCTGTAGATGGAGAGATTGCTGAAAATCTCAGGAGATAAAATTGTTAAATGCTCTTTTATCCAGTATGGTTTGTTTCTTACTGTCCCCTGTGCTTTTTCTCATTTCTAATGCTTCACACCAAATTAAAATTTACAAAGTCAAGGATCAACACTTGGTGCTTCCTATAAAAATGTGATGCAGATGTTGCTGTAAATTTAGTAACAATGGTAAGTAAATAAGGAAGGGGTTGTCACCCTGTACTTGGCATTGATGAGAATGCACTTCAAATCCTGTGTTCAGTTTTGTACCCCTCATGACAAGAAAGACATTGAAATGCTGGAGTGAGTCCAGAGAAGGGCAGTGGAGTGTCTGGAGCACAAGTGTTTTGAGGAGCTAGGGTATTTAGTCTGTTGCAGAGAAGACTGGAGGAGACCTTACTGGTCTTTACATACAACTGCCTGAAAGAAGGTGGTAGTCAGGTGGAGATCGGCCTCTTCTCACAAGTAACAGGCAGCAGGGTGAAAGGAAATGGCATCAAGTTGCACTAGGGAAGGTTTAGATTGGGTAGTAGGAAAACATTCTTCACTGAAGGTCAGGCATTGGAACAGACTGCTTAGGAAAGTCTTTAAGTCACCAACACTGGAGTTTTTAAAAGACATGTAGATGTGTTTCTTGCTTTAGTGGTGAATGTGGTTTCATGGTATTCTTCGCAGTGTTAGGTAAGGGATTGGATTTGATGATCTTAGAAGTTTTCTCCAACCTAAACAAACATGAATGCTTCAGGACCCTTCATGACAGATCCTGATGCTATCTTGCACTTGGACTATTTTAAGTTAGTGTTAAAGAATTTTTTCTCAAGTTACAGGGACGATTTTTTTGGTGAGATCAAGCAAGCGTCTTAATTCTAAAATATTTTCAATTAATTATTAAATTTTTAATACTTTTCTTAAATTGAAGGTATTGTGTGAACAGTTTCTTTGCACCTTCTTGAGGAGAGGCTAATTCAGAGCCTGGTTTTCTGTAATGTGAGTACAAATAACTGAGTTGAAAATTTAGTTTTTTGAGATGTCTAGTAACTTCTATTAATTACCTTTCTATTTTAAATAGATCATAAATAGAGGTGTCTAAGCTAGTTCAAGGTGAGGGTGAACACCACTAACTAAAGTGCACATCTTTTCTCTGTGAAAATTTAGTTTTTCTTAATGTCACTTTTTAGTGAGATTTTAAATAATTAATTATATTAATTAAAATGAAAATTTATTTAAATTTAATTTATTACTTTAATTTAAACATTTCGTTTTGCTTAATATTACTTTTTAACTCTCATATTTTGCTTTTACTAACTTTGAATTAGACTTAGTCATTTGTTCTGTGGGTCAGTGGAATGCTTGATTTCTGTTGTCTCAGAAAGAGCCTTCCTCTACTGATGCAAATGTTTCCTTTGTGTTACTGAAGTGCTTTATTTTATTAGTAACTTTACAGGAAATGGTGAACAGTGGAGCAGATTTGGTTTATTTTTTTTATTTTCTTTTTTTTCTCCTTCCCCTAGGTACACATTAGAAACACTGCAAAATGCATTTTCATCACAGTATTGCATTATGACAGTTTGGTATATTTGGTATTAATGCCGCCAAAAGAATAATTACAGGTGTTGTGAAAGAGGAATGCTTTGAAGAAAGTCAAGGAAGATACCTTATTTATTTGAAGATATTTGCAGTGAAAAATGCTTCAGTGTTTTTCTTCATAAGTTGAATGGAAGTTGAAGATTGGGTTGCAGAAAAAATTGAGTAGAAACAGGAAATTTCACAGGGAGATAAGGATATCAAGATTCTGTTGAGATGACTGTTAGAAAGACCAAAAACCAATGTTACTTGGATTGGTTGTTTTACTAAAACTCTCTCTGAGACAATCAACTGCAAAGACTTTCGCATCTTTTTTTAAAAAAAGTCCATTTTTGTTTTAAAAGTCCATTTCTCTTTCAATAGTCAAGTGATCTTTTTTTTTGCTGCCCATTTTGCGTTTATCTGTATGCCATTTTTGGCTCTCAGAGAAATTTGACATCTGTAACATCTGACTTAGGCAAATGTGAGATGTTGGTACCTTCTTTATAAAACTTTTTCAACCTGGAAATTAATATATCTTTCAGTTTTGGAGATGTGTAGACAAACCCAAATGTCCACAAAGCACTTTGTGTTGAGGATCATAGAGAATTCTGAAATACTGTGTTATTAGTGAATAAAGATTAATGTTTCATTCACTTTTTTCCACATCTATTTCTGCCACTTTTTATTTCAGTGGCAATGCTGCTTGCTTTTTTTTTTTTTTTTTTTTTTTTTTTTTTTTTTTTTTTTTTTTTTTTTTTTTTTTCTTTTTTTTAATGTGTAAAAGCATTTAACAGCACTGTTGCTGACCTGGAAATACCGCTTAATAGAAAAATAACTTTTGAAAAATGCAGTATTTTCTGGTATATCAGTCAGTCTGTGTCTTTCTAGAGCAAGTTTGCTGCTATGCTGAAAAATACTGAAGACCTTTTATTCATTCAATATCTTCCTTAATGCTTTTTTAAAAAATTTTTTTCAGCTACCTCTGTGAAACTTAACATTGAAAGCTCATTGAATAGCCTTTTTAGGACAAAGGTTTGATAGCAGGATTTTTTCCTGACATTTTTGGAATGATACCACCTATATTATTTATAGGCTTGCAGTTATTGTGGGGGAAGAATGAGCAAAGGCATCCATAAACATGCACTTTTTCTTTAACTCCTGAAATTTTGTCTTCCTTCCTAAGATATTCCTGTACTGATTTGCCATTAGGGCAAATAGTAATGGAACAAGGATCTCAAAAATGCAAATTGCAAAACCAACTAGTGACAGTATCAGCTTGGATAGTAATAACTGGTTTGGTCTCATGGCCACAAGGTTTGATGTACTCTCTGTACTAGCAGTTCTCCGCCATCTTCTGCCTTCCAGGAGTTCTTGGAATTTACTCCCTACTGATCTCTCTTTATATCCTACTGCTTTAAAGTGGTCTAGCATTTTATCTCTTCTTGTTCTTAAAGAACATGATCATTGTTTAAGGCAGTTTACTCCACTGTTTAATTAACCAAATAATTTTGCAACTATGAACTCAATTCCCAGTCTTCCTAGACCTGTTGAAGATGGGACTGAGTTGCCATAACCGTAATCCAGTGTACCATATGACCATAAAGTTACCAAATTATCTTGCAGCATTTTGCCATAACAATTTCATGCTGTATTCAGGACTGCCTTTATTTATACAGTATGGGATGTTAATGATAGAATAGATTTTGCACAGTACTTAGGTATAGTAACAAGACTGATAGAAAAATCTGAAAGGGAAATCATCTGAAAGGTCTAAATCAAGTCTTAATCTACATCCTCCTTACAGATTGGACAAAACTCTACTCATTACTCAATTTATACTGTTCTGTATCTGAAGAATGAAATTCTGATTTATGTCACTCCCATTTCTTTTTCTTTGTAACAAATAGGGACAGTGATAAAATTTCAAAATAATGTTTTTTAGGTACTGCCTGCTGTAAATGAAGAAAACTAAGGCTGTTGAATTTTTTACACTAACTGTATTTTATATGTCAATTTTTTCTCTTCTCTGTTACAGATCAGATGATAAGAAGGGCACCAACTGGAAGCAGTTTCCCAAAAAGCCATGTAAAAGTCTGCTCAGCACCTTAAGGAAACTGCACCCACAGCTAGCAGCAGGTGAAATAGAAAAAATAAAATGAATTGTAATTAGTATATATATGTAAGGACTTCCTTCTATCACATGAGGTGTGAATTTTATTTTTTAGACTCTTTTTTTTTTCTGTGACTTCTTAAAATTTAAGTGTTTTTTTTTTTAGCGTTTACTCATGGTCATGTCCAGACTCCCATCCACCAGCACCCCCAGGTCCTTCTCAGCAACCATCTGTTCATCCTCTGGATTGTATTGGCACCAGAGGTTGCCCCAGTCCAGGTTACAGCATCTTGCACTTGATCTTAGAAGATTCCCATGGGCTCATCTTCTTGAGCTTGGCCAGGTCTCTATGAATGGCATCCTGTCCTTCAGGTGCATCAACCGCACCACTCAGCTTGGTGTCATCTGCAGATTTGCTGGGGGTGCACTCTGTTCTTCTGCCTGTGTCATTAATGAAGACATTAAATAACACTGGTCCTAGTACATATCCTGAGAAACACCACTTGGCGCTGGTGTCCATCAGGACTTTAAGCTGTTGACCGCTGCCATCTGGATGCCACTGTTCAACCAATTTCTTACCCATCTAACAATCCACTCGCCAAATTCGTCTCTTTCCAATTCAGAGATGTTGTGGGGGACTGTGTCGAAGGCTTTACAGAAGCCCAGATAAATGACGTCTGCAGCCCTTTCCTTTTTCCACTGATGTAATCACTGCATCATAGAAGGTCACTAAGTTGGTCAGGCAGGACTTGCCCTTGGTGAAGCTGTGCTGGCTGTCTCAAATCACCTCCTGGACCTCCATGTGCTTCAGCATAGCTTCTAGGAGGGTGTGTTCCATGACCTTCCAAGGCATGGCTGACGGGTTGGTAGATCCCAGTGTTCAGTACTGGTGAATTTCTTAGATAATGACTTTTCTACCAAAATAACGGAGTAGCTAAATTTTGACAAAGTGTTTTGACAAAGTAAAAATAAAAACCAACCATCTTCAGCCTAATGACTTGGACAGATAAGGGCAAAGTTCTAACCAACCTAACAGTTTTCAGCTATTGCTTCTTTCTAACTGTAGATAGGTTCTTTCAGATAATCTGACTCAGGGTGTTAGGTTACATCATTATGGGGAAGGAGACGATGATAGCCTCATAGATACACAAGATGTACAAAATTTGTAAATTCCAGAAACAGAAAATGGTGGTTTTAGTAATAAAAAGTGTGAAACATCATTTTCAGCAGTACTTGTTGCTGAGTTTTTTTAAGAATGCAGGAATAAACTCTGAATGTCACCTTTTTGTTTCTACCCTTTGGCACACTAAAATGTTAGAATTTTTGTCAGAAGAATTGTTTTAGATGTGCAGTCTTCAGAACAGGGAAAAGATGGTGTCACTTTAGGTCACCTAAAGAATCACCAGCAAAGATATCAGAAAAAGCAGGTTTAATATAAAATTTGCGAAAGTACAATGAAGTTCAGTACCAAGGTTCACTCCATTACTTACTACATGGGTGAAGCATGCAAAGGAAAATCGGGTTAGAATCAAAGCAGAATGATTTTATCAGGGACTGGCAGTACAAAGGAGCAAGGGAGATCCTACTAGACAAGAGGTGCACAGAAGATCCCCTTGCTGTCTAAACCCCTGATGGAGCCTAGGTGCAACTGAGTCTAAACTTATCCCTAGACTAAGTCCAAACTAAGAGCTAAGTCCAAACTAAGGCCCAGGTTTATGTCTAAATGTGTTAACAGCACTTAATCACTGACTAACATTTACAGAGTTACTTAATAGGATTTACTGTAAGCACCACAGTAAATTAATTACAGATCTGAGATGGAAATACTCATACTATACTTGCTACTGGGTGTTTAAATCTCTTCACACATGCATTCAACAGACACAAAGAATTGTGTGCAAAGGTATGTCTATCTGTTAAAAATTCACCTTGAGTTCAGTGAGATACTCAATGTTGGATGCCTTGGCAACCCGCAGTGGATGACAGGTTGAGCCTTAAGGAGTGTGGAGGTATTAGCCCAGATCCTGTTGGCAGCTTTTGATTATGATCCTTGGAGTATCGTGAACTGGAGAGCTCGTGAGCTCCAAGAGGTCCCACTGAGAAGGAGGTGCTGGTGCAGTCTCAGCGGCCCAGGAGACCTCAGAGGGCTTGGCTTAGGACTCGACTTCAGAGTGTTACAAGACGGTCTGTGGTTGTCCTTCCCTCAAAAGTCCAGTTACAATAATATTGTTCGGCTCAGGCTATGAGTCAGGCAGATAGTGTTCCAAGGCTTTCCATGAGGCAACAGCTGTTCTTTAGGCAGCAGCAGTTGCTGAGAACAGACAGTGTTTCTGATAAGCTCGAGGGGAGCTTAACTGCTCAGGAGTCATTAATCAAAGCCAAGGTCTGAAGAGAATTCCTGAGGAGACTGGAGATTGTAGAGCAGCCCAAGAAAAAGCTGCTTGGGTGCAGGGAGGGGACACATGGTGTTTTGAGTTTGTGTTGATTTATTACTGATAGATGACATTCAGTTGGGCATAGAATAATATTAACTGAGCTGACATCCATCCTCCTTTTATGTCCCAAACTGCTGCATGAGGTAGAGAAACATACAATCAACTCTTGCAGTAACCTGCCTTTTGTGTGGGCCAGTTAAACTGAAAAATAATTATAGGAGTTCTAGTGCTTGTCATTTCTGAACATGGGCAGGTAGAAAAAATTTTTAAATGCACTGAATTTTTAATAAAGGACTGTACATGTTGTTCATTGCTAGTTCACAGGAAAACTCAAGAAGGCTCTGCAGTGGAAATGACTCCTATAGAGGCAGATTTCTCCTGGCAGAAGAAGATGATAGAACTCGAGATGGAGATCCAGGAGGCTTTTCTCCGTTTCATGGCATCTATTTTAAAGGGTTACAGAACATTCCTCAAGCCAATCACGCAGGCACCTTCAAATAAAGCAACTGCTGCTGATTCCTTGTTTGATCATCAAGGTGAGAGTGAGGCAGACCAGCTGCTGGTAATGTTGACAGTGTTACAACTCTAGAGCTTAGGAACTGCCTAAGTTTAAAAGGCCAGAATTCCCTTTAGTTGTGCCATGTATCTGTGGCAATATTTGGAATTGCAGCTGTACAACTGTATAAAGTTGAACTGTTAAAAGTTGCTTAGAACACAGATATATAGACATAGAAGTGCAGGTTTGCACTAGCTCTGGTATTAAAAAAGTTTTCTTTAGGTAGCATGATGCTCTCTCTTCATGGTATATTCTTTAAGGACACCTCTTGGGAATGCAAAAATATTTCTCAATTTCTACAGAGCCAAAATGCTTAAAGCCCAGTAATGAAGAATGAAGTATTGGTCTTGGTATAAATGGGAAAATATTAGAAAATGGGGCAAAGATTCAAAACTTAATAAAGCAATAGTCAGCAAATGTAATTTTCCTCATCACTGTTAAGCTTTCAGATCTGTTCATGAGTTGAATACTACATGAAATGTCACAAGTGTTTTGTTTTTTATGTGTGTCGTGGTTTTGCTCTGGGTCAATTTGCTTTCCACCCCCCACACAATTACTACCAGTTGAGAGAAGGTTTTTTCAGACAAAAGAGAGACAGGATTTGGGGAAAATATTATAAACATTTATTACTAGTAAAACAAAAACTACTAATAAATTAAAAACTAAAGAACTATATCTACAACAATTTCTACTCAAGTTGAAGTGCTATATATTTACAGAAATACTTCTTCCCCTTTTTTACTAGTCCAAGGAGAAGAAGTAGTCTCATTCTCTATTTTCGGAGTTCCAGCTCTCTCTCTCTAGTAATAGATCTTCAGTAGCAGCAGTATTCTCGTTGCAGCTGGAACTTTTTCTCTCTCTTTCTCGCTCTGTGTTGGCTTTCAGGGCTGGGCTTACCCCCCTCCTGGGCTAAGACCGAAGGCTGGGGGTTACTCAGGTCCCGAAGGGTTTTCCTTCCATAGGCTTGCAAGGGGACACTGGCTTACTATGGATCTTCTTCCACAGGGTTACAGGGGATAATGGCTTAAGAGTCCACCCCTGTTTCCCTATGGAGGTCCCTCCCCATGGGAGAACAGTCCTTGATAGATTTCTTGGCATGGGTCTAGCACGGATCCACACACACACGGATCCCAACATCTCACATGGGCCGTCTCGCTCCAGCATGAGATTTCTCAGGGTCAGAAAATCTTCAACAGCAGTATGGATCCACACACACACGGATCCCAGTATCCCACCTGAGTCGTCACTGCTCCAGCACAGGTTTCCCTCAGGGTCACAAATCTCCACCAGGACTCTGCCTCACTTCAATCCTTCTCATGAAGTCTCAGTTCTCTTTGGTACATCCACAGACTCCTCTATCAGCCGCATGGGGGGTCTCCTTATTCCAACAAACTTTTACAAGTAGCAGGGATTACTTTTCCTTGCTGAGGAGAGAGAGCGAAAAGGGGGGGGGGGGGATGGGAAACAAGTCCCCCCTTTGGCACTTTACTTTTCTTGCTGCAGTTTCGGCTGCCAGCTTCGACCTTGGAAGCTCCATTATCTTTCGGCTGGAATTCTTCCACAACCGTTTCTGTCCAAGCAGTTCGTCTTTTAAACCTTTTTTTCTTCACTCTCTTACAAGAGAGAAGGGAGGACTTCAGTGCTGCACCTGCTCCCCCCACCCCGGCCCAAGCCAGGGGAGGAGGGAGTCTGGCCCTGCTCGGGCCCGCTACTCCTCTCCCCTACATGGCTGCTGCCCCTAATTTCAACTGCGCAAACAAACCTTCTCTTCCATTTTCTTGAAGATGAAATTAGCAAAGGCGTCACTGGACTTTTGATTGGCCTTTTTGTCCGGAAATTACCTGGACAAAACCATCCTCAGCCCCAGGGATGGGCTGGTGGGCAAAACCACGACAGTCTTTTGGTGTTGGTGGGATTGATTTTTTTTAATTACTGGATGACAGATATGAGAAGTGATTTTTATTCAGTGGTTTGGAGAGCCTTAAATGTTATCATTTAAGGCCCATTACCTTTTAGGATAAAATAATATTTTTTTTAGTTTTTTTAACTGTTAATGCTTTTGTTGAGGTCATATTCTTTTTCTTGCACAAAGAGTTAACAAACACAGTAAGCGGATTACAGGGGGGTGATTGATTGTATTAACTATGGTAAAAAAATAGTTTATTTTAAAAATGCTGTTTTAATCTTCCAAATGCTAGTTGTTTTTATTGCTTAAGCCAATACTTTATGTATTAGCACCTTAAATATTTTATGTAGACAATTTATGTGTTCATTTCGTATAGAAGTCATACGGAACTGGTATTTAGTTATGTGTTCCCTTTTATAACCAGGGTTCTTAAAAAGCAGAGACCGTGCCTATACCAAGTTCTACACGCATCTCACCAAAACACAGATATTCAGCCGCTTTATTGAAGAGTGCAGTTTTGTGAGTGACAAGGATACTGGCTTGGCATTTTTTGATGACTGCATAGAAAAGGTGAAAAATGTAGCAATAAATTATATGCTTCTGTTCATTTTGTGTTTTTGTCCTGGCTTTTAGTTGAGAAGGCAGATACCCTTTGCAGGAAGTGTTTGAAGGGATTGGAATTCTTGGTGGTTATTGCTTAGTCATGTTTTTCATCTTCTGAATGGTCATAATTTTCTGTGTTATTGCAAGAAATTTTGATTAAAGCCCTGTAGGATTTCAATCCATAAGATAGTGCAAGAAATGCCATCTATGTCTTCCCTGTAAATGTTAATTATCCTCCCTCTAATATGGAATTACTACCAGTGGTCATCTATGGTGGTGTTCTTTTCACACAATTTTGACTTAAAATGTGCCTAGTGCTCCAGTTATTGTCAAAACTGATTTATATAAGTAGGTTCCCCTTTTGTTGCATGTTTGTTATAGGAGAAGGATTACTATATCCTATTCTTTTTTTTTTTTTTTTGGTGAAGTCTCATCAGTATGGTTCTGGTCTAGATGGGTCATGGAATTTACAGCTTCATTTTTAAAATAACAAGTTTGGAATATAAAAGGAGCTAGAGAATTCTGTTTATTTTTTAAGGTGCATATATATGATTCTTTCTGGGCAGAACCTTCATTTTAATATACCATATTCTTATAGACTGAGTCTTTGATTCAGTATTGATTCTAATCAAATTAACCTTCATGAAAAAACCAATAGAATAAATATTTAAAAATTTATTTGCCTCTATTTTTCTCACTCTGTATCTAGACAATACTTACTTAATAATTGGATATTTTTGCAGGTCGTCATATTGAAAATATCTGCAAAACAGCAGTATTTTTGATCTAAACTAAAAGAAAGCAGTGTTCTTTTAATAGATTTAGGGTTTTGTATTTGGTAAATAATGTCAACAGATTGAACACATACTGATTACTGAGTTCTTTACTGAAGTATTTGAAAAACAGTTTAATTGCTTCTACAGTAATACAGAAATTTTGTATTTCTTCTGTAATACTTCAGTAAATGATGCTGCTTTAATACAATTATTTAGGGGGGTTTTTTGAGTTGAGAAGAAACTCCTTTTTTTTTTTTTTTTCCCCAGCTCTTTCCAGATAAAGGAACAGAAAAAGGAGAGAAGGTACTTCATCCTTCAGAATGTTTAGGAATATCTGATCATGAAATAAAAATGGAAAGACAAGGCTGTGGATTTGGTATTTGAGTAATTGGAACAAGTATAACTTAGATATCTAATCAAATACAGCATATATTAAATATATTTTTACATACTCTAACATAATTGAAGTTAAGAGGACGTTTCTGTTACAAAGCCAAACTCTGTACTTAGTGTACAAACTCTGTTTTCAGGTTGATGTAGATTCTGTCGAAGATGCACGGTTGATTGAGCTTGATGAGTCACTAAAAAGTGAACACACAGTGTTCATAATGCCACCAGAGCCCCCTGCTGATGATGGACAGGACCGAGTGCCAAAATACAGGTACAAGTTAAACAGCCACCTGGAGTGAAACTATAATGCTTATGATATTTAACAGGGCAGATGTTCCATGTTGGTGCAAGACTTGCTTTAATACAATGTTTAGAAGAACCCTTAAAAAGATAGGAGTTGCCCACATTCTGGTAAGTTTCTAAAGTTCTAGAAGTCTGGGTGTTTTGTATGTATATTTGAGGGCACGTGGATTATGATATTAATTTTTCAGTAACTTCTTGCCGACTTCATAGTAATACCTTTCTACATTTATTTAATGTCTTTCTTCCTGTTGGAGCCATTTATGCGTATTTAGTAGCTAGTGCAGTGCACTTTATTCCACGTTGGTAATGATGAAAGGTGGGTTATGAATCTACCCAGTACCATTGATCTGCAGATGATGAACCAAAACAATAAAACATCCGCTCTTCAGATTTCTTGAATTCAGTCTTTTTCAGCCCTGTGCAGAAAAGTATGGAGTTTCAGACACTGTAGGTATGATTTTTTTCCTATCTCTCTTGGAGATCATCAAGATTCTGTTTTCAGCTGTTGTTCTTGTTGATCATCGTCTGTGCTTCCCTGACCTTCATGACCTGGATAGCAGTCTGTTTCTTATTTAAATTATCTCTGGATATTTAATATCTAAACCATCTTCTTGTGGTATCTTTGTGAATAAGGCTAAAAAGAGCTTACTGTCTTCCTTTTTTCCCCCCTGTTTTTTTATTCTCCTGTTTGTCAGTTCTAGGAGAATAAAAAAAAGACGACAAGAGGGCACAGGCTTAAGCTCTGCCATGGGAGGTTTAGGTTGGATATTAGAAAGTTCTTTCCAGAGAGAGTGATCAGGCATTGGAATGGCCTGCCCAGAGAGGTGGTGGATTCACCGTCCCTGGAGATTTTTAAGACGAGGCTGGATGTGGCACTGAGTGCCATGATCTAGTAATCACAGTGGGGTTGGATCAAGGGTTGGACTTGATGATCTCAGAGGTCTCTTCCAACCCAGTTAATTCTATGATTCTTTCCACACCAGTGTCATTGCATGACTTTCCTGCTGTGAGCAGGTATGTGAAATATTTTTTTTTTTTTTTCTTTAATCAACTATATAGCTATAAGAACTTCCCACGACTAGATTTCAAGCTCTTTGACAGGCCACAGGAGCTCAAACTTTCCTTCAGCAGACACGCAGCTGGAAGTAGCATTTCAAATAGTCCAGCGCTCATGGCAAAGAGGACAAAACAGGTCAGATGAGTCTCACTGTAATCACTGTATGAACACTGAAAGATAGGAATTTTTTTTGGTTATACTGCCACTACCTATTTATACTGTAAGTTAATTTGTTAGAGGTTTGGTCTTTGTAACTCTTGAGAATGAACACTTGCACAAAAAAAAGAGAAGAGAACAGATAAACAAATTAGAATCTGAGATTACAGTGTATTGTCAAATGCATTTTTAATCTTTAGACTGTAATATAAAATTAAAATTAATGCTTTAATGGGGAAAAAAAACATTAATCCTGATGCTGGTTTTTGCTTACAGAGTGTCTTAATAATGAGAGTGATAAGAAGGAATTTTCCATTGAATGTGTGAATTATTATTAAATTCTTAAGAAGCCAGTATCTGAGCTAGTAATGACTTCTAGATTCAGGATGTTGTATCTTTTGTCTGCTTTTTTTGTTTTGTTTCACCCTCACAGGAGATAAAAACAGCTCATAAATTAGCCAAGAAGTATTACGTAAGCCCCCCACAGTGGGCTAAGTGTCTCTTCAGTCACAGTTACAGCCTATGGTTTATTTGTCTGCCAGCCTATGTCAGAGTTGCACATCCCAAGGTCAAAGCACTGCAGCAGGCATATGATGTTCTAATTAAAATGAGGAAAACCGATGTGGAACCACTAGATGAGGCAAGTGCAAATAAAAAAAAGCTACCATGAGCATTGAATAGGGCAGAAGGTGCAAATACAGTGTGTTTCGCTGCCACCACCAGGTTAAGCACACTTACGGTTTGACCTTTTCTAAAGCCACTTTAAAGTCATCTCAAATAAGTCTGCTTAACTTGGACAACTGGAAGTTACTTTCCTTCATCATCCCCAGCATAGTGTTAGCTGAGTTATATACTCCAGCTTAGTGTTGCTAATCTTCTCCCAAATGACTTCCAGAAGAAAGTTCTTGAATATCCCAGTTTTTAATTTGATTTAATGCTTTGCAGCCATCTTGCACTGTTGGGATAATGGGTTTGCGTGCAGCATACTATTCTTTCAGTAGTATCCACAGGCATACAGCAACAAGTTATCCCGATCTTCTCAGGGGTGTTTCCTTACTTCCTTTATTTCTCGAACAAAAGAGCCAAAAGGAGAAAAAAATCAGCATACTCATCAATGTGACTGCTGATGTTATTTCAGCTCCTGTGATTTCCTCTTCGGGCTTAATCCCTCTTCGGGCTGTGAGATATATGGCTTTCCCTTTCACATGTGTATAAGTTGGAAATCAGGGAGGAGCATAAGCTGTTTCACAATTCCTGTCATCGTTTCATTTCCGAACTTCTGTATCTTGTCAGGTCTGCTACAGAGTAGTAATGCAGCTCTGTGGACTGTGGGGTCAACCTGTTCAGGCTGTGAGAGTCCTTTTCGAAATGAAAAATGCTGGAATACAGCCAAATGCCATCACCTATGGTTATTACAATAAGGTAAGGCACCAGTGTCTCTCTTGCTATTGTAACTCTGAAAGTCCTGTAACACGTTTTGAAGATTTTTTCTTACAGCTCTTCACTTGGATTTGCTGATTCTCTTGGTCAAGCAATCCTTTTGGACATGCTTACAGTTCACTGGATCTACACAGCATAGTTTTACACTGATAAATTTACATTCCTGTGCTGTTTGGCTAACCAGAAATTCTACTGAAATATATAGTGTTTCCATTTGCAAATTTTGAAACCCTCTGGTGCCTCCATGTCAAATACATCTGTTCCAAGGTATATTCTTTAAGATAGCAAGATCCAAGATGGATGAAGGCTGGAATTGGGCTAGTGGAAGTAGCATACCCCTCTTTTCCTTGCTTCCAAGTTCCTGTAATATGCTAATGAAACTTCATTATAAACTATGTGAAGTAATAAGAAGGTCTTTTGTTGCAAAATATGTAAATAGGAACAAAACCTACTTTGTTTACTTAAAGAAATCTTGATCTGTTGTTTATTTTTAAATCAGCTGTTGTAGACTGAGCTGTGGAAGGGCTCATAAAAATTCAAGTATTTTTCCTACTTCACATGGTTTACAAGAAATGTGGTTTTTGATTAGGGTAAAAAAGCTGGTCACCACACCGTGTTTCTTCAGTGTAACTGTCTTACTGTTTTTGTTATTGCAATGTCACTTTTTGTAGGCGGTTTTAGAGTCTTCTTGGCCTAGCAGTAACCGCAGTGGCATATTCCTGTGGACAAAGGTACGAAACGTAGTTCATGGCACAGCACAATTTAGGCAGTGCTTAAAGAAATCAACGCAGAGCCCACAAGTGCCTATGATATCAGGTAATAAGTTAGTTGAAATGGATTTATTTCTGCTGAACAAGAGCATGATGTGCTTTCTGAGGGATTGCAGCTAACATTGTGTCTTTTTAAAGTGGAAAATCTGTCCTTAAATATATAAAAATTGGTAATTGCCAACTTGATGCTTTAAACAGTATTTTGCACACTGAAGAGTTAATTGTCTTTATTCTGTTGCTAGAATTTCATACTCTTATATGTGCAAGCAGAAGTATTTACTGTTGTCTAAAAAGGTTAGATTTGTTTAAAAACCTGAGAAGTTAAATCCTCTCTTACTAACCAGCTCTCATTCGTGTCTTTAGCTCTGCGGAGTCCCACAGGTGGAAGTGATGGGGACATGGTGAGCCATGGTAGCGTGGATAGTTCTAATGATGCTAACAGTGGGGAGCACACCCTCTTCGTCAGTGACTTAGTCAGGCTTGATTCCATTGATAATCACTCTAGCACAGGTACTAGATTCTGCTGGGTTTCACTACTAACAGTTTCCCAAAAGGCTAAATTTTTTTTACTCCTGTTGATTTCCCCTTCATAACTAAAACCTTCCCCTCTTGAAGCTCTAGAGACTGAAGCATTGAGTTAACTTGTGTAGAAAAGAAATACACTGTTGTTGAATGTTATTCCTTTATTGCAGATCATGTTTCTTACTAGAATGAACCATAGTGGAAATATTGTTAAGTTAAAATAAATGTTTTGCTGTGGTCTCATGTACCTTACTTTTTGTGTTAATCCTCAGAAAAGGTATGAAGCTGTTCAGTTTTTGCACATTGTCATTTATTCATAGAAGAGATGGTCTGTGTCAGTAAAATCTTGCTCTGTATTGAAGGACAGGAATGATAGTTGTTGAGGTGATCAGAAGGTAACACTTGAAAATATTTCTTCTGATGATATTCCAGAAAGGCCTAATTGACATTCACGGAAGTAGTATTTTATGTTTGATTGTAGTAAAATATGCTTTTAAAGGCCATATTCAACTTTCTTAATGGTGGTTGCTAAACTTTGAAATAAATGTAGAAATTATCTGAACCTTTAAGGCAGTTTTTATAAGACACTGTGGGAATGGAAAGACAGGATAAACTGCAGAAAACTCCTCCTTAAACATGGTATGCACTCTTCCAGATAAACCGAATTAAAAAGAGTGCACAGAAAGTTAATTATTTGAGATGGCAAGACAAAATGCATGGTTCTTCATATTTGCTTTAGTACTGATCACATTCTACTTGTGCACAGTCTCAACTAAACTTCCTTTCTGTGTGTACTTCAAAACTTAATGAACAGATGGTTCTTGCACACTCTTTATGTTTTTAATACCTTGAGCCCTTCTGTAAAAGGGACTGTGAGTCTGATTCCTGCGCTTCATCTGATGTGTCTGCCTAGATTACTGAACTTCCCTTCTCTCTGCTCTTTGTTGCTCTGCTTTTTGCTCTTTGCTGTCTCTTGGGTGCCGCATTTGTCCTTGGCTATCACGGTGTGGGGTGCAGACATATGGTGTGAAGCCTTGGATGCACGTGTGCATTATTTCTACCCTTGAATGTTACTTCTGCAGGTAATTCACCCATTTATTGATAGGGTATTTTTTCACTCCTGTGCAGAGCAGGGATCCTAACATTATTGAAATTATGATAGAGAAAAAATAAGAACCAAAGAATTTCAGAACTTAATTTTCTATATAAAAAGTTTTTTAATATAATAGCAAACTGTATTAATTGTTGTCTGCTCAAACTTATAATTCTTTTTTGCATATTTGTTATTTGTTGGTAAAATAAACAGCAGTAATATATATGGCAAATAAATTGCATCTGTCAGTCAAGTTTTATGGAGCTTCTTAACCCCTTTCATACTCAGTAGCTTACGCTTTGATCTTTTTTGGTACAGAAATGTATTCTAATAGGTACTCTACAGCATATAAACAGTACTATTTAACATGTTGCTGAGGAATGTGTCACATATAGTATATTTGTCTTTTTGCACATGCAGCAGCACTTCAGATAAAAATAACAGAGAAAAGAGAGTCTGTCTGGATGGTTTCCTATGACTGACTTTTTGGACTATTATAAACTTCCTTTTTTTTTTTTGAGTGAGTGAGTGAGTTACAGGTGTCAAATTAGTGGTATTGCGGAAGAACAGACTTTTAAAAAGTGTTAACATTTTTGATTTTTTTCCATTACAATTTATACGTTGCCCTACAGTACAAAGATATAGCACAGTTTATGGTACAGTTTTTTTGAGGACTGTATTCCTTGTTAGAAACTTGCTTAATTACTGTTGTGCTCATCTAAATTTATTTTGTAGATGCATTTGAGAATTTAGCTTGTCCGGCAGTTAAATATTTCATGCTAAAGAGATAGGAAAGGAATGAAAGGGAATATAGTGCATTAGTCCCCATAATGTTTCTGGGAGAAGAAATGGTCTGTAATTTAAGTAGAAAAGTAAATTTGGATTGGTATGGACTAATTATGTCTGCTGTCGTCATCACCAAGTAGATCTGTCCACAAATTAGGTATTTTGGAGATCTTACTATGAACTTCTCTGGAGAAACTACATGCGAAACAAATTAATTTCAGTTCTTTTATTTTCTTATTGAAAAACAAATTTAGGAAGGAGAAGCAAATCAGAGGTACATATTTATATTTCTTCAAACAGGTGGTCAGTCAGACCAGGGTTACGGATCCAAGGATGAACTTTTAAGAGATGATGGAAACAGTCTTCCTGCAACTGAAACACAGCTAAACAAAGATATTTCTTCTAAAGCTGGAGACTTAATAGAAGGTTAAGTATGCATGTTTATGTTGATGAAGGCTTGTGGTGATAAATGGGTTTCATGCATTAGACTACCACAAATACTCGAAGTATTGAATTACTAATGTTAGCAAGCTCAAAATACAACTGTATGAAATCTCTTGTATTACTTCTGTGCCCTAAATAATGGCAGGGGAATATATAGATAGATAGAAATAGCCTTTTATTAGACTAATTTAATATAGATGGAAAAATTGTACAAGTGCTAGAGTACACAGTATTTTATATTTTACATTCCTCTCATTTATATATTTGAAATCTTAACAATTTTTTTTATCTGTACCAGTTGACATAATAAAAGACACTACTTTTTTTTACAAACTCTTCCCAGCTATAGATGATGCTATGGTCATCTGTCCAAATTTTGCCCTTAGTTCTTCTGTATTGTATTGTTTTCAATACTGAATGTGTTTTGTATCTGGGTTACTAGATCCTTTATCTGAGTTAACGCTTCCAAAGCTTTTATTAAACAAGTAGCCCTGCATGAAAAATGTGCAAACTGGTATTCCTACTCTACTTTGATTAGTTGAAAAAATACCAAGGGGAGAAATTGGGAAATGCTGAAAGCTTGTGAACAGTGAAGCAGTCTCTGCATAGCAGTGGTGACTGTCACCTCTCTGGATATTACTTTCAGGAAATGCTCAGTACCTAGTAGGACTGATCGTTTAGGCTGTTATTACATAAGGGAACAGCGTTGGAGTTTGTTTTACCTAACAGTGCAAATGGAATGATTCAGTTAAATCTACTGAAGATGACATTCTCTTTCTTACAGAGGTTTCTGCAGAGAAATCTTATGAAAAACAACAACTGAATACAGAAATTGCGAGTCCAACTGATCCACCTCCTTGGGGTAACAGTATTGTGAAAGTTCCATCTGGCATTTTTGATAGTGGAAGGAAAAGCAGTGGGGGTAAGTCACTGGGTGAAACAGAGCTTGCGGAAGTCCTGGTCTTGCTGTGCTACACTGTTTTGTGATCTGTTCCATGTTATGGAAAGAAACAAAACTTCTATTCAAGATGCAAATACCTCACACAACATTTGCATTCACCATTATCCTTTGCAGGTGACTTAGGAGGAACCTCTTGATTCTAAAGTTGAAAATCACTATTCAGTAGATCGAAATCAAGATTGTTCCCTGTCCCACACTGAGAGTGTTTCAGAAATATTCTAGAAAACAAGGAGAATTAAGCGTGTCTCCTCTTGGATTTTGTCATCTAAATCTTGCTGATCTTGGACAAGTCTCTTTGTTCATGTAGCTTACATTGCCAGTGTATAATGTAGGAACAGTGCGTGTTGTCTTTGTGCTGCACAAAATCTTTTTACTTATTTGGAGATTTACTTTGAGGAAGATTTATAGATACATAAAAGCTAAGTCTTGGGGTTCAGTTTTTTTCCGCCTTTATGTCTGTCCTTTACTAGGACAAGGTAGTCCAGTTTCAGTGTAGCTGAATTGAGAGTCTGAGGTACAAAGTTGCCCAGAACCTTTTTGGCAATTATAAGAACTGATGGCTAGCCAAGAAGCAGCATGATGTGAGACTCAAACATTCTCCAGGATTGGATATGGTACAATGGATCCTCTTTTGAGATATTAATATAGTAGAATTTCCATACTTAGAGGTTTTTACCTAGCTAGCAGAAAGTTATCTAGGCAATTAATGTTCCCAATTCCCCTGAAGAATTAGGAATATTTATAGGATCAGTTTGTATCTTCAACATGTTAAATTTAAATAATGTTTTCTAAATATACTGCTCTGTTATAAATGAAATAATGCATCTGTATTGGGCCAAAACACATGATAGTTTTTTTTCAGAACTTCAATGAGCTGCTGAGTTTGATGTTATAGATCTGTGATTATAGCTCTTGGGGAAAAAAACAAGCCAAACCAAAAAACCCCACAAACAATCAGAGCAATTTTTACTTGAAATTTTACCTTCCTTTAGTTCATGGGTGTAGTACCTCCTCTTTGCTGGATGTTGGCGCAGAGAAGGAAGGTAGAAGCCTAAATGGCTTTGACTCCAAAGAGGCTTTTGATCTTCAGGATGCCTTTGCAGCCAGTGAAATAAGTTGTTAATGCTAGTATAACTTCTTAATGGATAACTTGAGACTGTGGAACTCAGAGTCTTCTCACTGATAAGGAGATAAAGGAGATTTCACATCATTTCAAAAAATAAACATTTTTTGTGGCTATGGATACCATATTAATGCATTTTCTCTTTTAGAAACTGTTTCTAGCCCACTGTTTGTAACTCAGGATTCAGTCGTTGATGTAGTCTTTGGTGATGTTCTTCCTAAGAAAACAAGTGAAAAAAGACAGAGGAGGCAGAAACTGTTTTCAGAGAGAAGCTGCAGTTTCAGCAGTGAAAGCAGAGCAGGAATGCTACTGAAAAAAGGCAACTTGGACTTGCATTCTAAAGAAATAGCAATAATGATGGGAGCGGATGCCAAGATTCTAACAGCAGCTTTGTCAGGAGGCAAAACTTCGCCCTGTCATATGAATGAATCCCACAGCTTTGAAGATATCATTGACCAGCAGGTTTCTGATATAAGTGGCACTTGGAGTTGTGTGGCTGAGACTGATTGGGAACTAGAGTATAAGTCTTCACAAGTGCTGGAAGAACCTGGGGAAGGGCAGGAGCATCTTAAGAATGGAAGAGATGAAAACGTGACTGCAGTGGAAGACATGAACCTTGAACAGTCAGCTGAGTCCAAAACCCAAAAACCAGAATCCAAAGATGCAACTGCCAAAAGAAACAGCTTTTATGGAGTGGTTAAGCCTGTCGAAAGGGAAGATGTTGAAGTAGGCTTGGACCCTCTATCTTTGCTAGCTACTGACAGCATGCAGCCAAGTTATCCAGAACCTGGGGAAAAGTTGGTATCACCAGTTGCAGCACGTAATTTGGCAGATGAAATAGAGAGCTATATGAATTTGAAGAACCCATTAGGTAGTAAGTTTCCCAGCATGGAGCTGCATAAGCTGGATAAGGAAGCAGAAGCTTCTGAAATGCTTGGTCACTCCCAGGAAAGGAGATCAAGCCTGCCTTTGGATTCTGTCCTGCCATGCCCTAAGTCTTATGAAAATCGAAGAAGTCCTTCTGTCTCTAGATCCAGAACATTCACTGGACGATCAAAGCAACAAACCCATCCACAAGTCCAAAAGGAGCGGTCTTCATCTTTGACAGGACTGGCTCGTTCTTCTCCACATGGCTCATTAGGAACTGTCGTAACAACTTTATCCAATCTGAAGTTAGACAATATACTGTCTGGACCAAAAATTGACGTTTTGAAATCAGGCATGAAGCAGGCTGCCAACGTAGCCAGTAAGATGTGGGGAGTTGTAACTTCGGCATATAGTTACTCAGATGATGAGGTAAGTGTTTTTCATTATGAAAAATTTGGGGAGACAAAGTTAGAGGGATAACTTCTGTGTTCAGAAGATTGCTTCTCGAGGAGATGTTTTTTATTAATTATTGACTTATATTAGCTAATAAAATTATGTTTTATCTATGATATTTTCTCTTGCCATTAAAAAAAAAAACACTTTTCAGACAAAAGCAAATTAAGTGGTCTTGATGCAGGAAGTTTGAACTTTCTGTTCTCAAGATTCCCCCCATTTATTTATTTATTTATCTTTATGTTTAAAGAAACTGAACCAAGAAACCCTAGTAAGAACAAAATTGTGTTACCTTAAATGATGCCGTACTGTGTGTCTTATTCTGTGAGAAGTAAGGCTGTGAAAACAAATAAAAAGCCTAAGAAGTCTGATTGGTCAGAATTAAAGTTGAAAGTCATAAGGTACAGCCTGAGATCTAGTAAATTTTTCTGATAGTTCCTTCATTTTGTGTAATGTCTAACAAATCACAATTATGCATCATTTTCCCTTTTTCTCCTGTAATGAATAAGTTTATATCCTCGCAGTTTTGTCACTCAGTTTGAGCCCCAGCTAAAGTATTTTCGTTGCTAAAGTCTGTCATTTTTTTCAATATCCTCCTGCGTTGTCCAGTTTAATTATTTATTCATTTGGATAAAGATGGATGTCAAATAATGGATGTGGAAGTACTCAAACCCACTACTTTTCTTCTTGCATTAAAGGATGAAAGCAACCAACCGGACTATAACTTCCCTGTGGGTTTTGAAGATAATATGTTAGGAGATAATCTGTCGTCAAGAATTGGAGCCCCAGGGCTAATTACAAATGAACTTGGACAAAGCACTACTAGTCTTGGCAGTAGCAGTAGCAGTGGCGATGCAGGAAGACAGCATTACAGTGCAGGTGAGATTATTTGGTTTTGTTTTCCCCATGATTTGATTATAATATAACAAACAGGGCAAACTATTGTATGTGAAATCATTAAAACAGTGGAAGCTATGCTAATCCGAAATGATTTCAAGCCCTTAAGAGAATTACAAGTAAATTTTTACTTCTGTTCTGTACTCTTCTCCTGCAGTAGTTAATATTTAGCTAATGTTTCTCTCTTTGTTGAATGTATAAAAAGTTCATACAAAACGTTGGAATTTAACCATAAAAATACTTCCTCTCTGTATGTGATAGGAAGATTCTTAACTGGTTATAGCAAGAAAGACCTGCTCATTCGTGTAGTCATAATACCCTGAAAATTCTTGAAATAATACAGAAAAGGCAAGCAGTTCGAGAACTGCAAATAGGTGCATAACTAACAGAGACAGGTCTTTTAAGGGAGGAAAGAAGCAAACAAAACCAAAACCAAGCCAACAAAACCAACTCCATAGCCCCAAGCACACAAAAAATCCAAAGCAAAAATTTTCCGTCTTTACCATGGAATAAGAGGTATTGGATGCATACGTGATTTGAAGTTGTGAAGAGAAATAATTGATGACTATATGCCTATTGCTAAACTATCCTTCCCTCCCCACTGCCAGATGTAAAACTGGATTAAGTAAATCTAATAATTTTCAGTTCAGATTTGATTCTTGTTTTGAGGAAAAAAAAGATGTGTTACTGAACCAGCTCTGGAATTGGTTTGGGTCTCTGCAATACTGAAATGGTGCAAATATTGTAAAGCTGTCTGCATCAGGAGAGGCAGAATTGTCTTGCAGACTGGAGATAATCTGGCCCTGTCTCACAAAATCTTGACTAGATATCATCTAGTTCCAGTTAGTTAGAAAAGCTGTTAGAACTAACTGTAAAGAATGGCATCCAACAGGCTATGTAAAATTTGTTCACAAACATAAACTTGAGCTGAAAAAACAGAAGAGCCTTCTTTATGATAAGGGAATTCTGGGAGTGTTTTTTTAAAAGAAAAGTTTGGTCTTGTCAAAAGTAATGCGGATAATTTTGCCTCCTAAAACTGATTCCAGCTATTTCCTTCTGGTGAATATATTAAAGCTCTTTTCCCCCTTCTCCTTAGTGAAACTCATAACACTGAAACCTACCCTTATCAAAGAAGAGTATTTGTTTTATTGCAATGTTAGCCAGGGAAAACTGAAGCAGAGTAAATGGCGTATTTGGTATCATGCATTTCACCTGGTACTGTCCTTCTCTTTGCAATTTACACATGGATGTATCAATTCAGGAAATCATGACCAACTTTTTAGAGTATATACATCGAACAGTCTTACTGCTCTCTCCCAGTCTTTATTTTTTGTGTTTTTACTTTTAATAATCTGTAATATATTGTGTTAGAAAGATAACCTTGAAATGTTAATCACAAGCATTATATTTATCTATACTGTAATCATAATGTAATCATAAAGGGAGTTACACATATCTTTGGAGATCTTTTGGTACAATTTCTTGCCTTGGTTGAGCAGCAGTTATTTTCTTTGGGAATGGATTAATTACTATTTGCTTGAATAGAAGACTCAAAATGACTCTTTCTGTGCAGGTGAAGTTTCATTCCCCAGAAGTATGAAAGTTCAAGATTCTGAGAGGTCGGAGCACAGCTCTTCACATAATACTAGTTTATCCAGCATTTTCCAGAACTATGCAATGGAGGTAAGATTTATACACTTGAAAGCTGAAATTATTCATTATTACTGTATACATTAATTAACTGGTTAGTTGGATTGTGATTGTTTTTTTCAAAACATCTCTTTCTTGTTTTTACTGCAAAGATGGTTAATACTTGTAGCCTGGAGTATGACAGTAGCTTTAAAAAAGAAGAGTATCTTAAATACTTTTATGTATTCTTCATATGTAGAGAGGAAAGGGTCAAAACTTATAGTGAAATAGAAGTTAGAGATGAAACAGAATTTTTGTTGGGTTTTAAATTTTTTTTCCATATGAAAATTATGTTTTGTTACTAAGTAGTTGTATGAGTTGGCCACAACCAGCAGCAAAGCCCTCACGCAGGTGTTTGCTTACTCCCCCCTCATCAGAATGGGGAAGAAGATTGAAGGGGCAGAAGCAAGAAAAAGTTTGAATGTTGAGATAAAGACAATTTAATAAGTGAATTGGGGAAAAAAATAAAAAAGGACAGAGACACCAAAAAAAAAAAGCAATAAAACTATCAGCACCATGACACCCCAAGGAACAGATGTCTTGAAAAAACAAACGCACACAGAGTTTTATCTCTGAATGTGATTTAATACCTTATCTTTTTAGTTGGCTGTAAAGTCCTTGGCGCTGTATAAGGCACTGTGCAGCAACAACTAAAACACTTGTGGAGCCGGTCACCAGTCTAAAACAGGACTGTAAAGAATGCTAACAAGAAAATTAACTCTGTCCCAGCCGAACTTGACATGATAATGTTTTTGTTTGCCTCTCTGTTTCAGTTATTGCTTCCAGATGATTTCTGATATGTAGGCAATGGTCACTGCGTTTGCCTTGGACACTTTTCTTTCAGCTGTAGAGTTATTTTGCTAGATCCTGTATTGTTTTCATTTATGTTTGATCCTTGTCGAACTTTTGTAGTGCATTATGTAAGGGGCGTAGTATAAAATAAAAACATCTTTGGGCAGATATCTAAAATAGCAGGTACTATGTTTCATGGTAGGATTTTGGTTTTGTTTCCACGCGAGGGAAACAAGACGAAACCTAAAAATCAAGGTGTATATCCCATTCTGCAGATAGGATTAATTTTATCATATATTCTCCAGTTCTCTGTCTAGTTTAGTGATGAGACTTTTATTAGGCAAAAACCTTTCTGGTTTTCCATTTGTAGTGAGTTAGCATGGCAGGGTTTTGGTAATGAGGAGGCTGCAGGGTTGGCTTCTGTGAGAAGCTGCGAGAAGCTTCTCCGAGGTCCAACAGAGCCAGTGCCAGCCGGCTACAAGACGGACGCACCTCTGCCCAAGGCCAGACTTGTCAGTGACAGTGCTGCAGGGATAGCGTATTTGAGAAGGGGAAAAAATGCTGTTGTGGGAGAGGAATGAAAATATATGACTGAAACAGCTCTGCAGACACCCAAGTCAGTGAAGAAGGAGGGGTAGGAGATGCTCCACGCACCAAAGAAGAGATTGTGCTGCAGCCTGCAGTGAAGACCAGGGTGAGGCAGGATGTCCCACTACAGCCATCCCCTCCCATGCAGGAACAGGTGGATGCCCACAGGAGACTAACCCTGGGGAGGGGAGCCCATGCTGGAGCAGGCTCCTAGCAGGACCTGTGACCCCATGGGGAGGAGCACAGAGACTGTCTCCTGTGGGAGAGACCCCGCACTGGAACAGGGGAAGAGTGTGAGGAGGAAGGAGCATCAGACAAAATGTGTAATGAACTGACCACAATTTTCCATTCTCTGTTCCCATTGCACTACTTCAGGGAAGGAGGTGGAGAAGTCAGAAGTGAAAGTCAAACCCAGGAAGAAGGGAGGGGTGGGGGGAGGGTGTTTTGAAATGTGGGGTTTATTTCTCGTTACTGTACTCAGGCTTTTAACTGGCAGTAAATTAAATTAATTTCTCCTAGTTGAGTCTATTTTGCCTGTGACAGTAATTGGTGAGTGATCTCCTTGTTTAGTTTGGGGGTTTTTTTGTTTTTTGGATAAGTGAGCGCCCATTTACTTATACAATTCAAAAGAATTTGTATATGCTGAAAACTTCAAAAAAGCAAGTAGTTCCAAATGCCACATTTGTAACTTTTCAGGATAATGGTTTTTCCAGGTAAAAAGTAAATTATTTATATTTTCATTTCGAAGGTAAAAGTTACGTGAATGAGAGAACTCTGAGGATGAGAAAGTATTGGTGAACACAGTTCTCTCCATTGGCTTTCTGATACTTGTTAAACTCCTGTGGATAACAAGCCTATAAAAAACAATTATAAAAGAACCCTGAAACAAGATTGATAATATTCATTCTTTGCTGTTCTAGGTATTGATGTCAAGCTGCTCTCAATGTAGAGCTTGCGGCGCTTTGGTTTATGATGAAGAAATTATGGCTGGATGGACAGCAGATGATTCAAACTTGAACACTACCTGTCCTTTCTGTAAAAGTACCTTTCTGCCTTTGCTTAATATTGAATTTAAAGACCTACGTGGCTCTGCAAGGTCAGTGGGTTTTATAGATACTCTTTCTGCCTTTGCATTCTAGACTATTTGACAATCGTGATTGTGCCGAGGGAAATTATAAATTGTGTAAACTATCGAGGTTCATTGTATATCAGCCAAAACCTAAAGAATTGGTTGCTTTTTAACCAAATTTTCATTTCGTACTTGCCATATTTTCTTTTTAAGCATAACTGTACGGAAGGTATAGGCTTGTTTTTATTTTGTTTAGATTTTAAAACAAAGCCTATGGATCTTGAACTTTGAAGAAGTTTTTAAATCTGTCAGCAAAGAATTTTTCCCAGGTTGAATTTGCTAACAGCTTTTAGTTACACATGCTTCAGTTTCTTTTTTCTGCAGTTTAGGCTTCTCTGCTTACTATTTTTATCTCTTGTAGTTGCACTGTGAAAACCAGAACTTAATTTAAAGTTCCAGTTCTCACTGTAGTGGTTATCGCTGTGAAAAAGAGCTTCCATTAGTGTTCTCTACTGCAAAAATTGAATATCTGTAGCAGCTGTAGAATATGTAGTTAAAACTTATGAAAGAAAGTCACATTCATGTTATCTTGTGCCTTTAATGGTGTTTGACCATGTAGTCTGTAATGTCACATTACAATAGCAACCATTTTCAGTGATGTGTCAGCTATTGATACACTATTTCTGTTCCTGGGAACCTTGACAAACTAATATCATTAGTAATGATTTATGTCCACTGTAAGATTTCTTCTTTTGCAGATCTCTCTGTCTTCATTTGCTCTGCCTGTGTAAGTTTCAGGGACGAGAGTAGGATGAAATTTGTGTCCTGTTGTCAAGCTTGTCCATGCTTTATGTCTTTCTTTTTGCTACTTTTGAAAACTAAATGGAACTTTATGACTTTGTGCTTATATCTTAACCTTGGTATTTTTTTTTCCTCTCATTCATGTTGTAACTTAGCTTTTTCCTGAAGCAAAGTACTTCAGGAGATAGTTTGCAGAGTGGTACCCTTCCATTAACCACGGATCCCCTGGAGCAGAAACTATTGTCCAATCCGGTTGTCGCTGACTTGATCAGTTTTTCAGATCACTTGCAGTCCAGCCACACCATAGCTGAAGAAACTAGCTCTGCAGCAGAACATAGGTAGGTAAAACAGGATTGTTGGTTCTGTCAGAAATGTATCAGTAATTCCAGACTTCTAAAGTGAAGGTTGGTTCTGTAGCAAATACAGTAAAGTACAAATTTAACTTGATGATCATCTGTTTCCTCCCTTCCTTCTTGCGTGTTTTAAGCATGCTTTTTTCAGTTTGAAATAAACTTGGTACACTAAATGACTAGGTTTTAGAGATACAGCTATAGAAATAAAACTTCGTGTCCATCTGCTGTTGATTAATAGGTAAAACCTCTAATTGTTAAAACATGATTACCTTTTAAAGTTGCACCAAAATTCAAGCATTATTTCTCCTTTCCTTGTATGTATGTTTTAAAAAGAGGGATGCCGCATTATGAGTAAAAATAAGTCTGGAACAGTTTTATTTGAGAGAAAGCTCTCACAGCACTGAACAATTGTGCTGAGTGTGTGTTCTATGACACATGACAAATAAAACCTACATAAAACTGAAACTGAAAAAAAATACCACTTTTGAAACAGTTTGAGGGAGGAAAATAGCATTAAGGGGAAGGTGTCATGTTGAAACAGGGAAGAACTGAAATAATGCTGCTGTGAATTGTGACCTTTCTTCTGGGATTGGTTATGTTTTGTTGTAATAGTTTATTTTTAAGTCGTTACTCGGTTCGGAATTCTGGAGTATTAGTGCCTGGGAACTAATGAACCTGTGTCAGATAATTAAGACTTAATGTGGTCGTAGTTAGTCTTAATACAGTAAAAGTAAAAGGGGGTATTGCTTGTGTTCATGTCTTATTTTGATGACATATATTTTTAATTAAAGTAAAACTTAGAATGAAGGCCACCTGTAAATTAATCTCCTCTCTTTTCTTTGGAGATTATTTGGAAGCAGACACTTTCTATTTCACTTGTTTTTTCTTCTATATTGTAGTTGAAGTATTTTTATCCATTATTTCAATTATAAAAGCACAAAATGAAGATTCCCAGATCTGCAAACAGCTTGATTGCATGGGTTAAATCTGATAAGCCTGAGTTCGCTTAAATTATCTTGCTGGATGAGTTTGACAGCATTTTTTTTTTTCAATTATTTTGGAATGCAGTGTATGAATTGTTTTCTGTTATATTTTTATTCTGTTTATGACAGAGAAAGTAAATATAAAGGGAAGAGGAAGTAAAATAGAACATAGCTAAAACAAGACTGTCTTTGTAGGTCGGCAAAACTATATGCTGCTGTTTTTCTAAGCAGGGTAAGGCTGTACCAGAGGAATGGCATCTGTACAGAACTGCAGTGCTTTCAGATTCATGTCTTAGGTTATTCCTGGCTGCTTTTCTGGAGGGGTATTTATACCATTCTGAGAGGCATTTTGGTTTATGTTCTCTAAACAGTGGAGATAGCAGGGCAAATAACGATTCCTTATCAGTAGAGAAAGTTGGTTTGGGATCTTTACTTGGCAGCCTTTCTCTGCTTCCTTCCTGTTGCCATAGAAATGTTCAGTAGTTTCATATTAGCATATTTTCTTCTAAAATTCACACAGTGATATGACAAAAGAACAGACTACAGATCCCAGAACCATGAAGACACATACCAATAATCCACCAAAAAGAGGAGTGTCCTTGACTAGGAGCCACAGTGTTGGAGGTCCACTGCAAAACATTGATCTTTCCCAGAGACCATCTCATGGCATTTCAACAGTTAGTCTTCCAAACAGTTTGCAAGAAGCTGTGGTAAGTTTAGAAGCTGTGTATTCAGTTGACAGAAAAGCATTGAATACAATGAACTTAGTAATATTCTACTACTAGCATTCTTGTCCATTTGGGAATGGCCAGGCATATTTTCATGTTCTTACTTCTGATAAAAATCTTGGTTCACCTAATCTAAAATTGCCTTTTCAATTCTTTGTACAAATGGTTCTGCATGATTTGAAATGTTCTCTCTAGTGGAATGAAGCCTAGTCTTTGTCTTTCTAAATCTGGAAGTTTGTTTTAATAACAAAGCAACTTCTACAGCACACTAAACGCAGTAGTGTGAACAACACAATGTTGCGGAAGTGGAAGTTCATTCCACTTCTGTGCATTTATTTCCAGTGGTACTGTGTATTCTCTTAGTCTTACCTGTTGAGTGTATGGGAGAAGGTAAGAGGCAGTACTGAGACTCTTACATTATTCTTACTTGTGAAACAAATGTTTCCTCTCTCTCGGTGCTTTTTATTGTTCGGAAGCTGTCTTAAAATGTGAACTGATGATTCAGTGTCGCAGCCAATTTAATTGCTGACATTTCTTTGTAATTTCCAGCCACAGACTGGAATACCTAAATACCAGCTACTAGTTTAGATAGCTTGAAACTGCACAATCAGGAACAAGTCCTAACAAATTAGCATTTATTTCATGTTTACATAAGAGAGAGAACATAGATGATTGTTCTTCACAGTTAAAAATATCACAACAGTGAAAACTGCTGCTGTAAAGTTACTGTGTGTTCATTAGTTCCAGAGGCATCTTCCAAATCTGGAAAGAAGCTCCAATGGAGGTTTCCAGAGCAAGTAATCCTGAAAAGTATTTCTGGAAGAAAAATCTTTGATTTTGTAAAAAACAAAACATTTTTTTAATGTGCGGTGTTCCGTTTCTAGGATCCTTTAGCAAAAAGACCTAACCCTCTTCCTGTATCTGTACCCTACTTGAGCCCATTGGTACTGCATAAGGAGCTTGAATCACTGTTGGAGAATGAGGGAGAGCAAGTAATTCATACATCCAAATTCATCAATCAACACCCCATCATTTTCTGGAACCTAGTCTGGTATTTCCAGCGATTGGATCTACCTAGCAACTTACCTGGACTCATTCTGACATCTGAGCACTGTAATGATGGAGTGCAGGTAAGTGGCTTCCTCGTATTAGAATGGCAGATACTACTCTAAGTTAAGTTGGAGAGTGGTTCAAAACAAGTAGGTAGGTAATTTCTAAATAGCTTGAATCTGGGTTCTTGTTTTTTTATAATATGAGTAGATAAGTTTGTTTTCCACAAGGAGTCTTGAAGGAAGATGAGTAAAAACTGCCTTCAAATTCTAGTCAATCTGGTCTCTTTCAAGAAAGCCATAAAGTAAGATTCATTAAAGAGAAGGCTGATATGTAGAAGGAAACAAGATGTGTCTGTGAAGAACTCATAAAAAAACAACATATGGCAGTACACAATACAGTGGGTTACATACTTGCGTTTATAACCTTTTAAGTTACTGGTCAATATTTTTTGTTCTCCTCCAGTAATAGGTGTTGCTATTCAAACTGCACTGAGTTTCATTACTATATAACTAGAACAAAAGCTGTAGAACAGATGTATCTTTTTAGTATTTTAATTTTCTCATTTTAGGGAGTAGATGTTTTTCTAAAACCTATGTAATTTGTGAAAGTAGGTACCAAATTCAGTATGTATTTGTCTATAATGCATGCAAAAAAGGTAGTATTTTCCTATATACTTATATACACTTCAGTTTTAAAAATCTTTTCCTCAGTTTTCAAAATAACACCCACCTAGAACCAAGAACAGTTTTTCAAGAAACATAGTTGAAGACAATACTAATGATTTCTAAAGCATATGGGAAAACCACAGTGCATTAGCAGGGAAAAGCACAAGATGGGACAAAATGTCTCATAATTACTATTTAAATAGACACACTAAGTGGTAAATTTTTCTTGCCTGCTAATTCTTACTTGTATTAGTGAGTTCAGAGGGACCTAATGTTACAAAATAATTACAGAACTATTGTTTTTGCCGCCATATATTTTTAATGGAAATAAATAGTTCATATTTATTGAACTATTTTTATATAGTTTATCAGTGTTTATACAAATAAAGATTCTTTCTACTTTTTGGAAAGGCCAATACATAGGCGTGCATACCAAATTTTCATCAGGTCAGAAAATATTACAGTATGGTATGGCAAGTGGTAAAAATCAAGTAAGGTGTTTAGTGCACAAAAAATATTTCCAGATACATAATCAGAAATAGTTTCTGCAGATGTCTGTAGAAAACTAAATGCTCTTCATACATTAGGATAAACTAGAACTGGCAATTAAATGTTTCAGTACTTGTGACTGCTCTGGTTGATTGCAGTTTACTTTAGAAGACATTATCTTCTTTTTGCTGGATTCAAGATAAATAAGTCGTCATTTGCAAAATTAATAAAAGAGTAGTTTTTTTCAATAGTGTAACACTGTACTGATATTGTCAAAAATTGGTTTCCATTTCCTCCTGTTTTTTTAGCTTCCTTTGACATCTCTTGCTCAAGATAGCAGGCTAGTATACATCCAGCTACTGTGGGACAATATCAACCTCCACCAGGAGCCGGGGGAGCCACTCTATATATCTTGGAGAAATCTCAGTAAGTAAAGCAAATGTTATAGAAAACAGAAGGAGCAGAGACTGTGGAAAGAAACAGTTGTTTTGTAGTGTCTGAAGTGTATACAGCCCATCAGTTTGAAAGCTTTTTTAGTATGTGGAACATCTGCAATCCCTTAGGTACTTGACATATTCTGAGTATCAAATTAGATAGTACCTTACTGCTCTGTGTGAAAAAGTTTAATCTCTTCATTGTATGTCATAGGCTTAAACAGGGTGGGAGAAGTTGCTCTAGATGTGGTGCTAAATACGCTTCGCCTGATTTGAATGCTTCACTGCATTATCGAGCTATAGCTATGCAGGCATGTCAGCCAACAAACCATCACGGGCAACATCTGATGCTGGGTGCTCTTTGGTCTGTTGTATTTCTCTGTCATGCGGGAGTTCTTGCACTTGGATACTTGATGTGTCCTGTCACTTTTGTATAAAGTAATTTTTGCGTAAAGACGATAAGTAGACAAAGTCCTTCCATTTTAACAAATGTCTATAGATTGAATAGAGGTTCTCTATATGTTTCTCACTTTTTGAAATACCTTCTGCTTATTAAAATAAGAAAAAAATCATCACTGCTTTAACAGTCTATATATATATACTTTCCAGATTCTTCTGAAAAGAGACCCTCCACACTGGCAGAAGATCAGCAGGCAACAAACACTTTGTTAGAGAACATCAAACTAAGTATTCAACACAATGATGTTGTTAAGCCGATCAACCTCCTCCTGCAGAAAGTTAAGCCAGATCTGAAACGACAGAGGTAAAGGGATAATCTCTTCTTACTTTCTCCCCACTAAAAGTTAAACAAGATCAGACCATATATATTTCATAATGATAATTTCATAAGGACCTGTGGGGAATATTCAGTTTCATTTGTGTCCACCAAACGCCATGGTTTTATTTGTTTATGCACCTGTTTACAAACAGATGCATTCTGTATCCGTATGCATAGTTCATCCAGATCAAATGGATGAATGGGATTCTTAAATCAAAACGGGCATTTTACAAATGAGTAAGAAAAATACAGATGTTAATTATGCAGATTTTAGTGTTGCTCCGTATCTAGTAAACTGATAAATGCAAGTGTAGTGTACGGCATCCTGTTGCAGTGTGTTGTCTCCCCATTTATATCTATTGAAATTCTAGCAACCAGAAGTATTGGCTATGAAAAGAAGATGCAGCATGATCCACAAACAGAGATGCTTAAATAACCCTTGTACATTTTGCCGCCTGCACTGGAATTCAGGGGCTTTGTACAGAAGAGCCTCTAAAGTAAATTACAGTGTTTGAAGTCTGTCATACTAAGTCATCTCTACTTCTGTGTTTTGTAGTTACTAAAAAGAAGTGGAAACTAATCTGCCTAGAGAAACATCTTTTTGACTTCCACAAGGGAAAGAATTAATATTTGATTATTCATTGATACCTAATTCTGAGATGGATAATAATATTCTGAAACAAACAAACAAACACAAACAAACAAACAAACAAATAAAAACCAAAAACCAAAAACCCAAACGAACAAACCACCAAAATATGGGTGATCTGAAATAAACCCACACCTAGTGCTTCCCCCTCAGGCAGGGATGAGTTGTTAAATAAGTGGTGATTGAGTTCATATTTCTTGTTTGATATTTTTATGGCATGTTGGGCAGAGGAATTTTTCATGAAAAATGTAACTGCTAGGATTTGGCAATAATATAGCTTTCTGCATTAAGTAAAAGTACATAGAAGTTAAAAACCCTAAAGCTGGTAGTCATGTAGATTGTTCACGTTTTAAACAGAACAGTTGCAGAAAGTACATAATGGAAGATTAGCATCTTCAGTAATGACTTTGTAGACTTAGGACAGTTGGTGCTTTCATTAACTCAGCCTTCAAAATATTCCCCTAGGAGTTTTTACAGGGAAATTCTTTTCCTGTCTCTCGTGTCTCTTGGGAGAGAAAACATTGACATTGGTAAGTAAAAAATACTCTGAAATGCACAGTGCCTGTATTATGGTGTGTATTGATATTTTCCACAAAAACTAGAGTATAAAACTGAATTTTCATCCATAAGTTTCTAAGTTTCAGGTGTGTTTTAATGAAGAGTACTTGGCTGTCAGTCTTCAAGTAACAGTTGCTTTTATGTAAATGTAATTCAGATAGGGCCATTAATTTTGACTTTGTTTGAAACTAGTAATAAGTTATTTTAAACAAAGAGTATTAGCTTGAAGTTTTAATTCCTCATGTATGAAAGGTGGTTTCCAGTCTTGTCCATCTTTCTCTGACCCATGTATTAGACCTGATTTCCCAGCCCCTGCTGATCTGCTCTACCCTGTCTTCTATTTGGTACTATGTAAGCACAGTGACTCCCTTATGGGATATGATAGGGGAAATACAGGCAAACTGAACTGTTATAGAACTAATGGGCATCCACCATGATGTGTTGTGATGTCATACATCTTACAAAGATGCTTTTCAGGTTTTGTGAGATGGTGCATTTTGAAAAAAAAAAAATCAGCAGCTAGTTAGTGAAGATAATTTTGTTACTATATAGATGACCAAAAGCATTTTATAAAACAGTAGTGTGCACTGTACAGTGTTTCTTAAATAACCTCAGCTATGCTCTTTCTATTTCAGAGGTCTTTGATAGTGAATACAGACTCGCACTTAAAAAACTACCAAAGGAAGTTCTTGAAAAGATGCAGAAAATAGATGCTCCACCAAGCAGCAGGGTTGAGTGTTGCAGGAAGTGCTTTGGAGCACCTTTTATATAAAAATGAGGAAGACATGCACTAAACTTCAGAAATACAAAAGCAGAAATGGAAAAAAAAACCAGAAAAGTGTGATAGATACACTTTGAATCTCGAACGGTGGTAACTGGGCAATTTGTCAAAGCAATTTAATTGAGCTGCATCGTATATTTTTGTCTTTCATCTTATGAGACACATTGTAAAGTACATCAGAATGTTTTAAAACATTACTAATAGGGTGATTTTTTTCAGTGGTTGATCTTTTTGCCCCTTTATATTTACTCAGATTTTTCCCACACAGTATCAAGTTGTTCAGAAAGGTGATGAATAAACAGCAGCCTATGGTCAGTGGCTTTCTTAAGGGCCACTGATATATGTCTATTTTAACAAACCACCTTTCTTGCTACAGAATACTTAGATTTTTTACTGCTGCTTTAAAATGGCCTTTACGTAAAGAGGGATCTTTATGTTAGTGTGAATAAATGTGTGAATGTAAATATTTGAAACCTTGGATTGGAAGCTGCATTGCAGTTGCTTTAGTCAGATCACAGTACCTAAAATAGTCACTCCTCTCCTGACAGTTGTCCCAATTCAGTATTCTAAATTATCTTTGGCTGACCTTTTCATAATGTATATCTGTAGTTGTGAAAAAAACAGAAACTTAGACTCAACTTCCCTTATTCTCTATATGACATAAGATAAGATCCTGGAAATATACTGACCTCTTTCTCCAAAAGGATAGGTTTCTACTCTGAGCAGCTCAGAAATGGATTTCTTTTCTGAAGAATTAAATAAGAAGCTCAAGTGGCATTAGGATACATACAAGGATTGCAACAGATACTGTCTGAAAAAAATTGTGATTTTACTATATGTGTGTGTGCTTAAAAAGTGTCTTCCTTGAATTCTTTATCACCCCTAGGTTTTATCTCCCCTAGGTTTCATGCTAGCCTGTGGGTTAATTATTTTGCACTGATAGCCTAAATTCAATATTTCAATTATAATGTATTTATAAGTGTGGTCTTCAAGGTGTATATTAGCAGAAATGAAGTGCTTATGTGTATGATCTGAAAAGATGGATTCATCTTTTGGGTTGCTTCTAGTAGGTAAGACACTTCCTCACTTCACATATTTAACTGACTACAGTAGATACGGTCTTGGCAAGGAGAGCCTGGATACTGGTCAACAGTTTAAACGTTTCTGTTACTTGAAGAATATGATGAGGTTTATTCTAGGTTATTGCTGAAATATAATGGTGTGGTTTTTATGATGGAATAATTCCTAGAGGGAAAAAAAGAGAAGATTTGTAGCATATAAAAGGAGCATAGCTAAAATATTAATTTTATCTGAGTATGAATGTATTTACTTTATACTACTCTGTTAAAGTTTTTCATTCTTGAAAATGATGAGGGATGAAGATCTGTCTGGAACAGCTTTTATATGAAAAAGTAAAACCAACTTTTGTTTTTTCATGAGATAAAACAAAGGATTTGCACTATCTGTGACAAAATACACTTGCATCATAGACTGATGCCTTCTGTTTTAAGTGCTGATCCTAAGTTTATATGGGGATATTATCTGGACAGAGTCTCTCCTGATGAAACTCTTGTGTTTTCTCAACAATTAAAAGTGAGAAAGCACAAACTGACCTTTTTTTTATTATTCTTTATTCTTTGCATTTATGCATAGTTGCTTGCTGATATCTGACCTACATCACAATGGAAGAGTAGGCCTTGATTCTTAATCTTTTCCTCTCTTCTCCTGTTTCATAGTTGACTTGCATGGTTCCGTCCTTTAAAGTAAAAGTCTGTCTAAAGCATTCATCCAAACAGCTGAATACTTCTACAAGTCAAACCAGCACATTTTCCTGTATAACTCTGTACATTTAATCTTCAACAAACAGTTACACAAAGATAATTTTTTAGTGTTAAATGGACAAACCATGTGATTTTGTGATGCAATGTGCAAGGAATCAAGTTGTTGTTATCCTTAAATTATCCCAGCTCATAAAATTACAAGGAAAATCTGTCTAGTGAGTGCTGTTTTAGATAGTTGGTAACATCCAAATAGTTCTAAAACCTAGGAAATAATATTACTATGAACTAAATTCTGTAAACACATCACCTTCATTTCAAAACAACTTTCTCATCTGTTGCTAAAAATACAGATTAATCAGGTAGTAGTGTTGTAAAGACAGCAAAACTGATTGTGTCATAACATCTAGTGCTAAATATTATTTTTCCCAGATATCTACACTAAACAGAGAAACAAAAAACACCCCAACGATACTAAAGCCTGAGGGGAAAAGGACTGAACTTGCTTTGATTTGCTCCTGCATATTGGCATTTTTGTACACTACAAATTTCCTTTTATTCCTGTTGTATGCATGTGGATTTCAGAGTGGTAGAAGTCCTGCATGTAACTACTTGAAATCTTGAATCTGCATATTGAAATCAATTCTCTAGTATAGAATAAAAAAAGTAAGGGCTTACTCCTTTTAATAGGGAGTTTTTAATGCTTAGTATTTAATAACTAACTAATCGGTTGGTTCTTGAATGTAATCCATAGCTCAAATGAAAAGGGAGATCTCTGAAAGTGGTTTATTAAGTTCCATCTCAGAAGATGCTTTTATCAGGGAAAAAAAAGTAAGAGCTCACAAAAATTTCAAAGAATTTAAGAACTGAGTAGTTTTTTCCTAATTGAGTTCTCGCGTTTTAAATGCATAATGGCACTTGCTGGTTTTCCTTGGACTTTTAGGTCTCCTCCTGCAAATGGGCAGAGACTGGAGGTTTTCCTGCACAAACTTTCTGAGATGTATGCTTCCCTAATTTGAATACTGAAGGAACTGTGAGTGTGCATAAGAAAAGGGCATGGAATAAAATAGCTTGGCATGGCTCAATATTCATATAGTTGAAAATCTGGCCAAAATTAAGCAGGGAAAAGTTTCAAAAGTTTTTTTCAGAAGTTTTTTGTGAGTGAATTGCAAACACTTTTGTTTTTCTGACATTTGGGCACTAAAGGCACATTTCTCTGCAAGTTAGTTGACAGCACGAACTTCTTGGGCTTTATGGGAATGACTTAGTTACCTACAAGTGCTTCTAATTTGTTTGACACCTCACTCTTAGGAATCCAGATTCATCTCAATCCATAATACATGACTGATCTGAGCAAAATGTTGTGAAGGAGGAGTGTGGAAAAGCTTGATTTTTAGTTCTGTTTTCCACTCAGTGTAAGCAAAAAAAGTAGCATTTTGCTCACTTGCAAAACTACTCCTTCTAGTAGCTGAACAGCCAGTGTTCAGGAGGAGATCGCTCTTCTGTGTGTATTTTGGAATTCTGACTTGTAACCTGAAGAAAACATTTCAAATCACCATTAACTTCAAACTTTCAATGTGCGCAGAAAGTGAGGATGTAAAATAATCTGGTTACATATGTGGACGCAAAGAATGAATTTCAGGTCTGCCCAAGAACTTAGGAAGGTTGTATTCGAATAACAATTATCAAAGAGAAGCTTCCTTGAATTGTTGCTCTAAGGATGTTGAGCGGCAGTCAGGCTGGGAATATACTCTCTTGCATCTTTCACCCGACTATAAAACAGTTAGACACGTAGCTTGTGTGCTCATATGAAAATAGCTATTTTTTTGTAGAATTAAAACAACAAATGAGGTCTTCAGTGTTTAAAATCAGGATTCCTAAGTTACAAAGTTTTTCTTTATGAATTATATTCTGGTGCATCTCCAAAACCTAAAAACATTGAAACTCCCTTAGGTGTCATCAGGAGACTGATGTGGCTGCAATATTGGCACAGTAATTGGTTACAGATTTTACATGTTACTAGAAGCATCTGTATGTTACTTATAGTCATACCCCATCTTTACATTTTATATAAATCAAGACAGTAAGTACAATTATAATGGAAGTTATTTTATTTAGTATATGTGTTTCAAACTAAATGCATTTGTTTTGCAAGTAACTCAGTCTTGTTCCTGGCAGAATTTCACATTAGTTAAGCTCAACCTATATTGCACTTGTGAATGAGTAATTGTATTCCATTTTAACTGTGAATTAATGGCTTTTTGTATTGCTGCAGCTAGAAGAATATACCTTTCATTGAGTTTACTGCTTTCCTTGAATAACTGCAACACAGGGGATATTTTCAAAATGTATATTAAATTAGATCATAGAAATTATATTTTTAAAACTGATTGTTAAAATGTATGTAATTCAAGAATCCACTCAGTAGTTTCCTCTTTTTAAAACTTTTAATTCAACAATTATTTCAGTGCAGATAACTTTTATTTCATTAAACGGTAAGCAGGTCATATTATTCACATAATTATACATTTTCAACAAAGGTGGGGTTTTTTTCTTTCAACTAATAAAAACCTTTAAAATGCATTCTGTATATCAGCTTTTCAATATGTTTTTAAGAAACGAAGACCCTTTTAACTTTTAAGTGTTGAAACTAAATGATTGGACTCTAGTTCTCTGCTCTCCTGTGCTGTATATTGTGATGCATACGACGAGAGAAACGGATGGCGTTTTTATTTGTTCTTTCAGTCTGCATCAACCAAAGGTGCAAATTAAAGGGATTGTTTGCTGTTTATTTAGAAGCACAATAAACTCCTTTTAGGAGCTTAGACTGTATTGTAGTGAGGATGAAATGATGTAGTGTGAATAAATTATGAATTTATTAAGTGAGCTGGGAAGTTTAATGCTATAAAATTTGCACTGGTTTAGAGACTGTTTTGAACTGTTGAAAAATGGCATCCATTTACTGTGCTTTAATTAACAAGTGTTTCTCTGTAATGTTTTCTGTACATTTGACAAAAAATTGACTTTAAAAGGACACTGCATATTCTGAATTCTGTATATTCTAACCTAAGAAACAATTTTTAATGTATTTCCCAAAATAAAATATGTATGATCCTACATAAAAAATTCTAGTTGTTCAGCTTTTTTGCTATTTTGCTATTGCACTTACATGCCTGAAAGAATTTGATCTTAAATGCAAATTCAGCCTATAGCTGGAAAAAAGGAAAGACCTTTGACTGCCTTCCTGAGTCATCGTTTCACAGTACCTCGGTGACTGCTGAATGGTGGGACAGAACAGGAGCAGGGGGAGAGGGAAATTAAAGATGGGATTCATTTGTGGAAATTTGTTTCATGACAGTGGATGGCTTTGTGGCAGCTTAAGGAAGCAATGGGAATTAGCAGAGGTAGGAAGAGTTTAGAAACAGGTTCAGGGAGACAGAATCCATGAATATCTTGTTTATAGGGAAGTTATGGCCCCTGGCATCCTGACAGCAGAGCTGCTGCTCTCTGCTGACCAGAAGAAGAATTGTTAATCAAGGGGTAGGAACAAGTTGCTGATTGAACTTCCCAGGAGTTCTGTTTTCTCAGTGGCTTCATAATGGGTGCACAGAGTGGTGCTTTCAGTTGATGCATCCTGGTGTACAGCAGTGGACCTCCTGCCTCGTCCTTGCACATTTACATGCAGTTTCCAGGATATTTGTTTTTAAATTGGGCAAGGGTGGTAATAGGAGTGAGGCTGGGATGAAATTTTAAGCAATAGAATTGTGAGTTACAAGTGTTTCAGGCCTTCACCTTCACAGCGAGTACCTTTCAAACTTCCTCATGTATGGCAGACACTTCATTATTCTGACAGTAAAAATAAGAATACTAGACTCCAAAGGCTTTTCTCTCTGAAGAGACTGATATACATAGAACAAACTGCTACATGTGGAGAAGACTCATAATAAACTCATAGTTTCAGGCCTGGTTTTAGATAGCTGAAGAAGTGAAGTCTTTTCAACTTCAATAGTCTTGTCAGCATCCTGGTGACTTTCTATGTTTTCCTCTGACTGCTTTCCTCACTGCTAAGAATGTTACACCATCTTTAAATTTGTTACCCTTCATGTGGCGTCCTGAGGGAGGAGGCTGAAGGAGGGAGGGTGTTAACACAGGAACAAAAGCTTGCATTTGAGGAATCCCCAGAGAAGCACAAGTAGAGGTTGGGTTTGAAGCTGTAGAGGAGGGAACTGCCACCAGAATCAGGTGGGAAATTTGAGGGAATAGGATGGTAGAGGGCAATAGCAGAAGGTGCTGGCTTAAAGAAGCTCTGATCCTTCATGTGTTCAGAGCTGCTGTTGAGTACTCATCAGTGGTAGTTCTCCCCGCCTCTGTAGAAACTAACTTCTGCTGTCTACAAGGAGTGAAGAAGGGTCACTAACTTGTCAAGCTGGAGAACTGATGGGGTCTGCAAATAACCATAAAGGTCCTGCCTTTTTGTAGGAATAACCTCATGCACCAGTGCAGGCTGGGAGCAGGCTGGCTAGAGCAGCTGAGCAAGGAAAGGCCTCACGTTCCTGGTGGACATCAGCCTTACCTCACAGCGAAGCAAGCTGTGTGAGCTAGCTGGGTGAGCTAGACTAAGCACTGCCAGCAGGTAGATCTTTGCCCTCAGTGCTGGTGACACATTTAGGTTCTCTGTTAGTGTCTGGGCTGACTTAACATACATTTTTCTGTTAGAGCCAAGGTCCCATTTCCCAAGACTGTCTGAATACATTAAGGCTACTATGAAGTTTTTAGTCCTTGAGTTACATTTCTGGATTTCCTTTTAACTGCTGGCTTACTCATGCTTGGTATTGATTTCAAGAGCAGAACTGTGCAATACCTACAAAATTCTAGACAACCTGTAATGATCAAGACTATCTCCCTGCTTTTTGCAAGTTTACCTAACACTAAACCATTTGATTAAGCATTATCCAGACACACCTTGAATTCTGGCAGGCTTGGGGCTGTGACCATTTCTGTGGGGAGCCTGTTACAGTAAGTCTCAGAACTGCACTTTGCCAAGAATCAGCTGGAGGATGTAAGTTTTACTAGTCTTAAACTCAGTATCAAAAGCAGTTTTCTCATATGTAAACACTACCCTTTGGATTAAAAAAACAACAAAGCAACCACTGAAATAAGTACTAAATGAGTTAAGTTCTGCCCACAGAAATGCCAAACCATCACGCACGGTTTTGTCCCTGCAGCTAAATACTGCTCGAAGGGACATCCACATGCATGCACAGGTTGATTATGAACTGGAACTGCCCAGTAAAGACACCAGGTTCTCAAGGAGAACTGAATCAAGACTATGGTCTGGTCCAGTTTGGTCTGTGCGATGGAGTTAGTCTGAACTACTATTTAAAAGAGATGGCTGGTAACAACATACACAAGAAAGTGTCACACTCAAAGTTAACGAGAAAAAGGGTTTATTTTTAATATCATGTACATCTTTACTTCTGACTTGATTCAGACTTAGATGTAGAAGCTCTCAATGAAGAAAGCCGGCGTCTCTTTGCAATCTGCTCCTGGCGTTTCTCCTTGGCTTCCTGAAAGCATGAAGAGAGTACAGAGATGTTATGCATAATCGAGCACTTTAAGATATCTACAAACAAACAAATCACGGAAAATACAGGTTGGAGGAATGGATTCCGTAAGTCAATATAGCAAAATTGTTTCCTTCTTCACAGAAAAATTCTACAAGTATACAAACCGGTACAGACTGACGTCTTTAAAGAGTATGCATCCAAAATAATAGTAAAGAAAATAATGCAGAGTTCACAACATACAAGAGGTGTATCCTCATTTCCATCTGGAAGTTACGAAACTCAGCAACTATTGTGCCAAATATTCCAGCAGTACCGCTGAAGCAGTACTGCAGTTTTAGAAACAAGAGAAAACTCATCCAAACAAGTACCTTCTTGCCAAGTTATCTTCCACTGAGATCAACTGCTGAATCCCATTGCTCCACACAACCACTCAAATGCTTGAGCATCTGAGTTAAACCAGGATACATTGAACTAAAATTGCTACTTAAGAAGTTATTTTCACAGTAAGTATCTGTTGTTTTCTTCAAAATAAGCTCTCAATTAAACTAATGGGCCTGCTTAGGTTCTATTGCACTAGGACTGGCAGAAACAGACAAATATTCAACCCCGCCCAGCTGACCAGCTGTGTTTATACTCATGTTTAGGCAGTCATATTCAAAATGAACTAGGTACAGAGCAGCTATAAGCATACAGCCAAGTTTGCAAAATCCCTTGATTCTGGGGCAATTAAAATTGCAAACACACCTTCATTCTCTTGGCCAAGAGCTTTGCATATTCTGCTGCCTCCTCCTTGTTCTTCTGAGTACGCTGCTTCTTCAGAGCAATGCGTCTGCGCTTGTGCTGCAGCACTCGAGGAGTCACCAGCCGCTGGATCTTAGGAGCCTTGGTTCTGGGCTTCTTGCCTAAAGATGTATTACAAATCAGAAGTGGCAGACTATCTTCCAAAAAGGCCACAGGCCTCTTCAGACCAACTGTGGAATAACTTCTATTTACTATTATTTAGTAAATATATTTATTTACTATCATTTAGTGCACTACATATTATAGCAACTTATATGGGGTGCAACATCTTGACAAATTTTACAGGAAAAATGATCAATTAGTATAAGATGCCACATTAGCAATACATAGTCCTAATGCTTATGATTTGTTATCAACAATCAAGTGTTAATTCCTACTTTCTCAGCAGGTCTGTCTATAGTAACTCCTCCTAGACTTTGAAGTTTTATGAGTAAGGATGATCATTATCTAACTTTCAGAACAGTCTTCAGTGTTAAAATGTAATCTAACATTTAATACAGGTTTGACATGGTTTATCCCCCAAAAAATAGATCTACGTAGTCCACATTGAGCAAAAAAAACCACATCACCACAAAAATCTGTAAAATTTCACTTCCCAGTGCTGACTGACTTCAGCAGTTACAAGCAACAGTCTGACATCTACCAGGATCACGTTCTTAAATGAATAAAATAGTTCCTATGATGCAGTCTTTTCCCCAAAAACCTTTCACAGTGGCCCGCGTTTTATTGTGTCCTTTCTGCTAAAAATCTGCACTTTCTCTTTTCCCTGATCAAATGCAAGAGAACCCAAAATTACTATCTTACACTGCAAGAGACAGACAGTAAGCAAAGCAGTGCCCTTCCAATAAAAGTTTATTTCGGAGACTGCCATAAATAATGGGGCAAAATCTTACCATCTACTCTATACACTGCTTTTTTTCCCTCCTGCAACATAAAAATGTTCCAACAATATTCCACCTTATATTTTCTCTTGTTTTAATAACAACTACTATTGGGTTATTCTTAGAATGTTAGGCTAGATTCTATCAAACATTTTAAAAAAACAAACTGCGAAAAATTAAAAAAATTAAACAAAAGGGGAAGAGGGGTGAAGAAATGAAGCAACCAAGAAAATTCTTTTCCACAAATTGCGGCAGACAAAGCTTAAATATAGTGAGTGTGACCTCCTGGATCTGCTATTCATTGTGCTTCATTCACTGCAGTAGGATGGACACCTTGTTGCCAGTGATTACGAGAAACCAAAGAACTGAAAAACTGGAGTTCTTACCCTCTTTGTTCAGAGGCTTCCTCACAACATACTGGCGAACATCATCCTCCTTAGACAGGTTGAACAGCTTTCGGATCCTGCTCGCCCTCTTGGGACCAAGACGACGGGGCACAGTTGTGTCCGTCAGCCCAGGAATGTCCTTTTCACCTTGGAGAATGCAAGTTTAAACATGCTAATTACTACTACCTCTACTGAACACCAGCTTCAGCAGCAAAACCGTAAGTTTAAAATACATAAAAATCCAAGATACTACTATATAATCCTTAGGGTTCACCTGCCAATACCACCACCCCAGCTACCCTTGGCTGGTTTAACATGATCAGATTGCTGGCAGCAATAAAAAGTCTTTCAGTGACCAGAATGCAATGCCCAGAAGAATCTCAAGACACATTCACATTTAAGAGTTGGGACAGCATTTGCGTTCCACATTAACTTGCCAGCCACCAGCAAGCAGGCTACTGCCTACTTTTATTTGTTTCATGCAGACTCTTACCCTTTTTCACTATGACCAAGTTCAGGACACTCAGGTTGGCATCAACGATGCAGCCGCGAACAGATTTGCGCTTCCTCTCTCCAGTCCTTCTGGGGCGGTAGCAGGAATGGCCCTTGCTGAGCAAAAGGCGGACACGTCCATGAGTCAGGACACCCTGCTTCATGGGGAAGCCTTGCTTGTCGTTGCCACCGCTGATCCGGACAACATATCCCTACAAAAAACAGAAACACACTTCTTAGTTGCCCTTGTCTCTATTACCTCCAAAAGCAGTTGGCATCACAACACAGTGGATGCTCTAAACACTGTGTCCCTGATTCAGCACAAGTCACTTGTTACTGCCACTGCAAACAACTGCTTTAACCAACACCTTTGCAATGGTTCAGGAATTTTACCTGGAAGACGTAAAAAATACTTCTGCATACCATAACTTATATTTAGCGATTCCTAAAGTTTTGTTCAAGTTACACCACACAAAACCTTGTCCATTATTATCTAGCTTTTTTTAAATCTAAACCTAACTAAAGCCTGTTATCATTAACTGGAAAACTGCACAGAACTGGAAAACTGCAAGAGTGTCTGGAGTAGGAAGGTAAAAAGTAAAGCTTTTATTGCCTGCCTTGCAAAGGTGGTAGCAGAAAATATCAACTTTATTAAATCCAGTTGCACTGTCGGTATTAACACTGAACTATTCCAAACCCATCCACCAGGCCCATGCTTTTTTCCATGTGTTAGCAGCAGTTTAAAGACGACAAGGTCCATTTCCAGCTTGTTAACTAAAGAAAGGATCAGCTGTTTCACACTGCAGATTTGTCCTGAATACCATGACAGCACTCATATGGAGAAGAAACTACTGCAAAACACAGCAAGAAACCTCAAACACAAGGTTCTAAAGAACAATGAAAAAATTCCACTCTGATAATTTAAAGTACCAAAACAGGCTAGACTAATCACTTAATTCTGTACATCCATAGCCAGAGAAACTTCCAAGATAACTGCCAAACATACGACATACAACTGCTGTTATCGTGACTACTGCATTTCTAAAAACTTCTGTAGTTCTGTAATATAAGCTCCTCAAATACAACTCTGACAAGCCCTTCTGTGTTACTTACCTTCCACTCCTCACCAAGGGAATCAGCCAAGACCTCCGTGGCCATCCGTTTCTCATAGAACGTTCGCAGCTTGCGCTCATCATCCACTTCAATGAGCTTCTGGCAGCCAGTGGCTGGGAAGGAGATGTTGAGCTAACAAGAAAAAAGGAAGAGAAAAGGACAGGCACGGTTGAAAATTCTGAGGCATCTTAACGAAAGATCAGTATTTACCTACTGGTTTGATCTCGACACTTGAAAGCTGAAATTCCCCACCCGCTTCCAGGAACGCTCGCTCACCAGGCACAGCCCATCACCGCGGCACTCGGGGCACCGAGCCAGGGGAGGTCAGTGTCCGCCCACCCTGGGCTGCACAACTCGTTCAGTCGCACAGAAAACTGACTATCGCAGCCGGAGCTCAACCACGGACTGCGAGCAGAACAAGGTGAGGGCAGCAGAAACCTGTGCCCTCCTCCTCCTGGAAACCCCTCGTAGCACAACCCGTGCAAACCACTACAGTCACTTCAGGGGAGCGGCCCCTGCCGTGAGTGATCCCTCGTGATGCCCTGGGGCTGCTGCGGAGCGCAGCGCAGCGCAGCGCAGCGCAGCGCTGGGGGGGGGAGCCCCCCGGCACTGTGCCCGAGCACGGCCCGGGAACAGCGCACGGCGCCGCCCCACCGGGCCCCGCTGCCGGCTTCACGGGCCTCTCGCTCGCAAGGCCCTTCCGAGAGAAAAGCGGCCGCTCCCGAGCCCGGCGCCTCGCTGCCCGGCGTCCGGAGAGCAGCGGGCCGAGGCAGCGGGGCCAGCGCGGCCGCCATGTCGCGCGCTGCCAATCCGCTCCCATCCGCCGCGCCAAGGCGCTCCAGCCCCGCCGCCGGGGACCATCGGGCGGCGGCGGCAGCCCGGGGGGCTGCGGCGGGGCCATTTGCGGCGGGAGTGGGGCCCGGGCTCCCCAACCCAGGGCGCCGGCCCGGCCCGGCACCGCCTCACCTTCATCCTGCTCGGGCCTCGGCGTCGCCGGAAAGGGCCGCACTTCCGCCCGCACTGCCCACATACACCCGCAGCTCTCGCGAGAGCGTCACCACCCGGACCCCGCGTGACCGGGGCTGCCCTATGGCGAGCGAGGGGCGTGTCCTGGGGACGTGTCCCCGCCCTGGGCAGGTGCCGGGTTCCCGCCGCGCCACCCCGTCCGGGGTGGCGCGGCGGGAACCCGGCACCTGCCCAGGGTGGGCGCGGCGGGAACCGGGCACCTGCCCGGGGTTAACGTCTGGCGGGGAAAACTGTTTCCTCTGATACCGTTCCTACAGCGAGGCAGTGCCCCTTAGCCACAGGGATGATCAGGGGTCTGGAGCATCTCTCTCACGAGGAGAGACTGCGGGAGCTGAGCCCGTTTAGTTAAGACTAGAGGAGGCTGAGAGAGGGGACCTCATCAGTACATATAAATATGTCGCAGGTGGGTGATAAGAGAATGGGGCCACACTCGTTTCAGTGGTGCCCAGTGACAGGACATGGAGTAATGGCCATAAAGTAAAACACAAGAAGTTCCACTGTAATCTGAGGAAGAACTTTCCACTGAGGGTGGTAGAGCACTGGAACAGGCTGCCCAGGGAGGTCGAATAGTCTCCCTCTCCGGAGACAAAGAAAATCCACCTGGACACGTTCCTGTGTAACCTGCTCTAGGTGACCCTGCCTTGGCAGGGGGGTTGAACTGAATGATCTCCAGAGGTCCCTTCCGACCCTAAACAGTTCTGTGATTCTGTGGTATTTCTGAGGAGGCAAGGGACGCGGGCGGGCTGCCCACGCGGGTGAGGTATACGGCTTCTCAGGGGCGCCGGGGAGCGGGGAAGTGGCTCTTCATCCAGCCCGGCTAGCCGGGGCCCCGCGGGGCAGTCGCAGCTCCGCCCCGGCCACACCGGGCCTGCCGGCCTGTGCGTGGAAGGGCCGCCCCCCCCCCGGCCCGCCCCTTCCCTTGCGCGGGCGGTGGGGAAGGCGGTGCGGTGTCCGCCCCGCGGTGTCCGCCCCTCCGCCCGGCGGCGCTGGGCCGGAGCGGGGCCGCCCGGGCGGGCGCCATGGGGGCGCTGCTGTGGTGGGACCCGCTGCGGGCCGGCAGCTCGGAGGTGGACTGGTGTGAGGACAACTACACCATCGTGCCCGCCATCGCCGAGTTCTACAACACGGTGCGTGGCGGCGGCCGCTGCCTGGCGATGCGGGAGCGACGAGCCCTCGGAGCCGGGGCGCGGCGGGTGGGCCAGCGTGAGGCGGCGCCAGGGTCCGCTGCTGCTCTGGGGGCTTCTGCTGCCTGCCGCCCCCGTCTCTTGCGCGGTTTTCGTGGAATTGTAGCTTGTCCTTCTGTGGCTGCCTCCGTCTTTTCCTCCTCCAGTCTCTGACATGCCTAAAATTAAAGAAAAAGGAGAGGTTTGGTGTTGCAGGTATAAAACGGGGAGGTTACTAGTCATAGTAGCCATACTGCTACGAGTAAGTAGTGTGCAGCAGGCCCCTTCCTTGTCTGTGTCGAGCCTTGTGGTGGCCAAGCGCAGAATTTTTGGTGCCGGATTGCCCGCGTCTGGTACCCGTCTGCTCAGACAGGTGGCATTCCCTTGACACCCACTGCACGACAGTGATGGGTCAATATATAAACACCTTGGTCTTTGGAGGTAAAACTTGATTTCACACAGGTATGTGAATTTTCGGGAACGATTTGCCTAAAGGTTGCAGGATGAAGTCAAGAGTGTACTTTTGGGAGAAGAAATGACTGTTTAAGGAAGTAGGTGAAGAAAGGAAGGAGAGGGAGGAGGAATAATGTGATTGTTGCTTCTTTCTAATAAGTTGTGGTTTACCCCTGAACCCTACTGCATCTTCCCAATACCTTTCGGCTGCTGGAAATAACTTAAGAAAGCCCAGTCTCAGCAACAAGAGTCGGGCTGCCCTGTACCACACATCTTGGAGAGGGAGCAATGCTCCTGACAACCTGTTGATGTAAAGAATTACAGTGACAAATAGGTACGCCACAGTAAGATAACCCATCAGGTTTTCAAGTAGTTTGCCTTTCCATGAGAAACAGGTGTCCAGGAGCAAACCTGCAAATGCCCAGTTTCTTTTCTGTTCTATAAGAGGTGGTATCTGCACAAATGAGGAGCTGGAGCTTCTGCTTTGTCTCTTTTGTGCTTTAAAATGTACAGTTTTTTTCTCTCGTATTCCATCCTTTTCTGATCTATCTTTTCCTTTCAAGCCAATGTCTAATGGAAGAAAGAATTTGGTGTCTGGCTTCACTCACTGGAGTTTGTATAATGGGAGGTGCTGCACATACAGAGCAAGTTATTGCATGGTGTACATGGCTAATCTGATTTTTTTTTTGCTTTTACTTTGCTGCCAAAGACCTATGGGTGGTGGCTGCAGGAGAATTTTGAGGGTGTGTGAGGGAAACTGTCGGCTTTTTTTCTGTGTCTGATGTCACCGCGCAAGAACCAAAAACAAAAGGAGGAAAAGGGCAGGATAAACAAAGTTATTTGAAGACAGCAAATGTATTTGGGAGCCAGCTATGCAGGGGGATGGGTATCCATCTGACTGTATGTGCTGGTTCAGTCTAAGGTAGAGTTCATTTTTTCATAGTCACTTCTGTGGGGTGATGTCTTGTGCTGCAAACAGTGTTAATAATTCAGGGATGTTTTCATTTACTGCTCAGCAGCGTTCCTCGGGTCAAGGCCTTTTCTGCTGCTCACTGCACCCCACCAGTGAGTGGCCTGGGGGTGCACAAGGAATTGGGAGGGGACACAGCTGGCACAGCTGATTCCAGCTGACCCAAGGGATATTCCAGAGCATATGGCATTGAGGTCAGCATATAGAACTCGGGGAAGAAGAAGGAAACGGTTTGATGGTGGTTGTCTTCCGAAGTCATGTTACACGTGACAGGGTCCTGCTTTCCTAGCAATGGCTGAACTCCTCTGCCCATAGGAAGTTCTGAATGAATTCTTGGTCTCACTTTGCTTATGTGTGCAGCTTTTGCTTCACCTGTTAAAGTGTCTATTTCTCAACCCACCCAATTTTCTCACATTTACCCTTTAAGTTCTCCCCCCCATCACGCTATGAAGAACATGAGCGAGTGGCTGGGCAGTGATTAAACCACTAAAAAGTTGTTGGCGGGGTTTAAACCACAACGCTGTACTGAGCTGATTAGCAGTGCTATAGAAGCTTGCAAAATGTTAGAAGCTGCAGCTGTGTCCAGATGAATAACTGAGGTTCCAGACAGATACAGGAAAAGGTTTGCCCTGAAGCCTGCTACTTTGTGGCAGCTCTGTGCAAACAGCAAGCTGTACACCAAAAGCGGAGGGAAAAAAGAGGCTGTGTTGAGGGTAGTCATGTTTAGCGTCTCTTCAGGAGTACCGAGTCATTGTAAGGATTTTTGCATTAGCAACTTCTGAAAATCAAAGCCAGTGCCTTGAAGTGGTTTGGGGTGGTTGTACAACTCTGTCCGCATAAAAACTGATGCTCACAAGACATTTGGGAAATTTTGGCCCTACTCTAGTAGGTATCTTAGGTGACATCCCAATTTTATTCCTTTTCAATGCGTCAGTTCTGGTTCTGAAATCAATTCTGAATCAAACCTCTTGAAGTGTCAGGAACCATTCTTCAGCAAACCTGAATCTGGTATCTGGGTCGTTAAGCTTTAGATTAAAACCTTGCTAATCCACATTTTAAGCTGTCACAGCTGAGGTCAGAGTTTTGGTTAAGGTCTCACGCAGTATTCGTGTAAGCACAAAACTGGAGCAGCTTATCTGTAGTGCATTTGTGAAACATTTATTTACTCTGGTGGGACTCAAACCAAAGCACTCAACATGCTTAAATCAGTAGGAGAATGTCTGTTTTAAGGTTTTGAACAAGTTGATCAAACTAATTTTTTAAAACATACACAAGCTAGATGTGATTTTGTCCAGCTAAAGTAATTCAGGTCTTATACTTCTTCAGTAAAGAGACCACAAAACACTCTGTGGCTCAAATTGAAAGAACAGTTACAAGAAAACTATCTCTTTTTTTCCTTTTCTTTCTGAAATGAGTAAAGTAATGTGTCCTGATGCAGTATAACCCTCTCTGAAGAGATATTTATGAAAAAAGCTTTTGTGTTTTGAACGCCTGAAACCAGTATTTTTTCCCTGTTGTTAGCAAAGTCAGTACTTAGGAGTTCAATATGTTGTATTCAGTTGTGCTTGTACTTTTTTGCCAAATTTCCATGTAAGAAGGGAATTAATTGCCAGGAGTTTATTTTTCTTTTTGTATTCCGTAGTGGCATGGAGATAAAAGTATTAAAAAGCTGTGAGGTAGTCTTAGGATTATGAGAGAATGCTTGTACTCTCTCTGCTTCATCTTTTTTATCACTGAGGATTTTTAGTATTTGTGAATGGCATGCTTGTGTACTGGGATATAGAAGATAACAGATTCTATGATCTCACTGAGAGCTACTTCAGTCCACTTTTGCCTTCTGCTCACAAAGAGGTAGAGCAGTAAGTTTTCCTATGGTGATGGGATGCTGCAGCTAATGTCTGGGAGATGTAGCTGATAGTGAAGAATGCAGGATCTTCGGTAGGACTGCGGGAAACATACTCTTGTCAAGAGTGGCCAGATGTGAGTGAAGTTCTGTTATCATGATCTGAACATGCCTCTGGCATTCTCTCTGTCCAGTAGGCCTATGTCCTGTATTCTTATCATATAATTAATTAGTTGGAAATTAAAACTAAAGGTGCAGAATTATATGAAGCCAAAGGATGGACTGTTATTGATGGCCTGCTTACCTTTTTTCTAGAACTGCAGCTTTTAATCATTGCCTTTTGCAGATCCTGAAGGAAATTTTCTCTACTAATGATACCAATTTTTGCTCTTCACTATATGAGTTGTACTTTACGAAATCATGCAGGCCAATTTATTATGGAAAAAATGGCACATGCACTTTCTGAAACCATACTTTCTGAAATCATACTATAGTATTGAAACTTTCAGTACTAAAATTATTTCAACTTCTAAGATTTTAGGAGATCTTCCTGCTGGCCACTGCAAAGAGTACAAGTCGTGCTCAGGCTCCAGTTTGCAAGGGTTTTCTTGCATTTGCAGACAGGACTTTAGCATGAATGATAGTTCAGTGCCAGAGGAGTGCTACCATAGGACAGAACTGCTCCCCTGTTGGCTCATCACTACCGTAAATCTGCATTGCTCCAACTGTGGTAAGCAGATGTAGTGTTTCCTTCTTTGCCTTGTTCCTAGGCAGAATAAAGACTTTCTGGCCAAACTTTATAGACTATGATTGCCTATTCTGATGTTCCCCATTAGTCAGTTTCAGTAGTGATGGAAAAGTTGCCTTCCAATCCACTTTACTTATAACCATCTATTTTTGCCCATTGACAGCTGTCTTTGGCCTGTGTCTAAAAGCCAAAAATACATAGAGCACTCCCAGGCCCCAAGAGGACTTGTTCGTGTTCCATCATCCCAGCTGTCACCATGTGTGCTTCCTGCCCGTGTTGGGGAAAGGGGAGTCTTCCGCTCTGTGTTTGTATCGGCACTGGGATCCTGGTCCATGACTGTGTTCCCAGCATTACTGCATGGAGTTCTGTGTTTTCTTTTATGACTGGAAGATGCTCAAGTGAGCCTCTTTCTTGGAACATGTAGGTTGCTTTGCATGGGCTTAGCAAATTGTTCCGCCTCATAAAATCTGTTCTCAGATTGTGTTGAACGGTGGACAGCAGTGGCTGAATGAACAAATTCATATGTTGTTCTTGAATTATTTCTCCACTAGATTTTCACTGATGTCATTAAAAATTTGTAAGTCTCTGTGCAGAGGTGATCTTTCCCAAAGGAGTGCTCTTGCCAAAACAATTCAGAATTGTTTTCTACATCAACTTTGTGGAAATGTTGCAGGGGATGATTTTTTTCTTGTGCTTAGGCTAAGTGGGCAAACATGAGAAAGCTGAGGCTGGAGAACTCATTCTGTCCCCTGCCCCGTTGTGGAGCAGGAGTAGAGTCTTTTCATAGCTGCTCAGTTATAGTGCCATGCCTGGCCCTCAGCAGTGGCAGCTCCTTCTCCGGAAAACCAAGTGATCACTATGAGAGTGACAGCTCCTGCTAATTGCCAGTAAAGTATTTTCAGTCTTTAACTGGAGAATCATGCTTTAGGCTGTTGGTAGGCAAGAGAAAACATAAAACATGACTTCATTCAAATCTTACATATTAAATTACAAAAACCTCTAGCAATGGCCTGAATTATCAGCTTTTTTACCTTCCTGTAGCTAGTTTCACTTCATATTCAGTTGTTGGAGAACCAAGAGAAAAAAATGAAATGCGAAAGGACTTAAACCTCCACGCTCTCTTTGCCCTGCACAAAAAGGGTTCTAACTCTTTTAGCTTAGTGTTGTATTTCAGACCTTCCACGTTAGAACTCTTGCTCTGTAAATTGACTTCCAGCTTGATTAGCTCTGTCTCGTGCCAGTACTTCTAGTGCTTTTTCCATGCTAGGCTTGACAGCCATTGAGAGGACAAGTCACTGGTCTATACATCCTGTTCCTCAGCTGCTTGCTCTTGTATGCCTTCCGGATTGCCACAGTCTTGAATATTTGTAGATTCTCAATAAAATTCCTCTGGGAATTGACTTGAAATGTAGTTTAAAGATGACTAGCTGCATTTTATGTTGCTTAAAGTTTTTATGCTGTTATTAGTTAGTGATCCTAAACAAAACAAGTTAATGCTTTTGCAAAAACATCTAAGCATTGGAAAAAACAGAGGGCTGTAATTTGTTGAGCTGGAGCTTCACTGGATGACAAAATGTTATTATAGATGTCTTTGAAACCCTGTGGATATTTAAGGTTTGTTTACTTTCTGTCTTTGTGAGACTGTGTTGTTTTTTTTCCTAGATAAGCAACGTCTTGTTTTTCGTTTTACCACCCATATGTATGTGCTTGTTCCGTCAATATGCAATCTGCTTCAACAGTGGAATATATTTAATATGGACTCTGCTAGTCGTGGTTGGTAAGTTGGTTAGTCTGTTTGCCAACTGTGTGAACTGAGGGAGGAAATCCGTTCTTATTACTTACACTTGATTGTTTTGCAAAACAAAGCAATCTTAACATGTACAGAAGAATTTGACTTTACTTGCATAAAGCCAGAACAGCCATAGTTTCTGAAAGGAAAATGCCTTTTGCAGTTTGGGGTTGGTGGGAACTTTGGCCCCTTCCTATCCTTTTGCATACTTTTCTTTTTTTCATATTTTTGCTTATTCTACAGCAGTGCTGACCCTGCTTCCTATGTTGTCGTTTAAATGAGAGCTGAAAGTGCCAGTGCAACTGAAGAGAATAATAGGTTTAGCATTGCATTGAGAAGGGCCAGAAGCTGAGCTGTTTTGTAGATGTGAGATTCTGAAGTGTGTTCATTTCTGGAGGCACTTAAAGGGATTATGAGAGCCCTCTGGGAAAGTGTGACCAACTTTCCACCTGTAAACCTATATAAACTAGTAGTCTAGTTGCTAGATGCTGCTTTTTATCTTTGTTTTACCTATTCTTGTGCTATTGAGAAAATCAGAAGCGGCATTTGACTTGTATTCCTTGATTGGTTTTGCATTATACTTTTCCACATGATGTCTCTTCATATACATCTGCTTTTTTAGTAGGAACTGACATCTTCAGCTGCTACTTCTGTGAAGTGTTTGCTTTGTAATTAATGTGGGGCCAATGACTTGGATTGCCTCTTAGGAAAGTTGGCATTTATTTTCTGGTTTTCCTTTTTAATGATCTTTTCTAGACCAAATGGTATCCACCATTTTCTTTGAAGTTCTGAGCATGAGGAGTGCATTTCAGTGTATTATGGTACTGTAACTGTTCATACTGTCTTTTGATTAATTCTTCCAGGAATTGGATCTGTTTATTTTCATGCCACACTCAGCTTCCTGGGCCAGATGCTGGATGAGCTGGCTATTCTCTGGGTCCTGATGTGTGCTCTTGCCATGTGGTTCCCTAGGAGATACCTGCCCAGAGTTTTTCGAAATGACAGGTAATCATACAGTCATGCATGTACACTTTCAAGTTTGCTGCAACTTCTTGTGCTAACACCTAAACCTGCACATAACGGCACTGAGTTGTCATCCAGCCTTACCACTGTTGCTGCTGTCTTTGCTCGCTCCATTCTCTTATGGTTGCTTATATTTCAGCCCATTTTTTTCAGAATTCCCAAGTCTGTGGTTGCTGAGGGCAGGGTTTGCACCCTGTAACTTCAGGTATTGGGATGAGGTGACTTGCCTCTGGAAGAGTCAGTTCTTGTTTATTGCAGGGAGACGTTTACAATGAGTAGTTTGTATAAGTTACAGCTAATGTAAAAGAAGTCATCTTTTACTCTTTCTTTTGTATATCCTGAAGTGTAAATACAAGTGGACTTGTGGAAATGTCAGCTGAAAGATCATCTGAATATTTAAGGCAGTGGTTAAGGGTGGTGTTTCAATATTCAAAGGCCAAGCATTTCTTTAGAAACTTAGTGTTTTTGTAAAAGGATTTTTTACTTTTCTTGCAGGTTTAGAAAAAAGCACATCATATCCAGTTTAAAAAAAATTGATTTTGGTTTGCCCCCTACTAAAAGAATTGTGCTGTAAACTTTGTACATATTGTTCTTTTATGTAGTAAAGTTGAGGTAGTGCAGAGGTTTGAATTCCAGCACCAGTTGCTCTCTGAAGACTGCTAAGACTGGTTTGTTTTTTTGTTTTTGTCTTTTTCCTCGACATATGCCTGATTAGAAGCTGCCAATGGAGGGTGGGTGAAGAGAAGTTTATTCACTAGATTGGCCATTCCTCAAAATAGCTTGCACTGGGAAGAGTGTACTTCTAATTACTGTGTACAGCCTATGTGTATGGCCCAGTTCTCTTCAATATCTTCATTAACAACTTGGACACAGGACTTGAAGGAATACTAAGTAAATTTGCTGTTGACACAAAACTGGGAGGAGCTGTTGACTTCCTCAAAGGCAGGGAGGCCCTGCAGAGAGACCTCAACAAATGAGAGGACCTGGCAATCACCAACCACAGGTCAATAACTGAAAGTGCTGAATTCTACACCTTGCATGGGGCAACCCTCAGTGTTCATACAGACTGGGGAATGAGATGCCCAAAAGCACTGACATGGAAAGGGGTCGAGGGTCGTGGTCGATGGCAAGTTGAATCTGAGTCAGCAGTGCCCTGGCAGCCAGGAGGGCCAACCGTGTCCAGGGGGCATCAGGCAAAGCATCGCCAACCAGTTAAGGGAGGTGAATGTTGTGTGCAGTTTTGGGCACTGCAATATAATGAAGATACTGAGCTTGTAGAGAGTGTCTAAAGGAGGGCAACAAAGACAGTGAAGGGCCTTGAGGGGAAGCTGCATGAGGAGTGGTTGAGGCTACTTGATGTGTTGAGCCTGGAGAAGATGAGACTGAGGGGAGACCTCTATGCAGTCTTCAAAATCCTCATGAGGGGAAACAGGGAGGCAGGTGTCAGTCTCTTCACTCTAAAGACCAGTGACAGGACTCGAGGAAACAGTATGAAGCTGAGCTGGAGTGAGGTTTAGGTTAGATATCAGGAAAAAGTTTTTCACCCAAAGAGTGGCTGGGCACTGGAACAGGCTCCCCAGGGAAGTGGTCACAGCACTAAGCCTGTCTGAGTTCAAGAAGTATCTGGACAATGTTTTCAGGTACCTGTTACGATTCTTGGGGTGTCACATGCAGGGCCAGGAGTTGGACTCAATGATCCTGATGGGTCCTTTTCAACTGAGCCTATTCTATGATTCTATGTGCTTTAATGGCTTTGTCATGCAGTACATCTGCACATTGCAGCACAGTGCTGTTATAGAACACCATCAGCTTAACAAGCAAACAGGTTTACTGGGGTCTTTTGGTTTATGGTATGAATCTTAGATGTTCAGTTCAAGTGAAGAAGGATTCAGAGTCTTGATCTGATGTGTAATTTATATAAACTCTGTAAATTATCCCTCAAAAGCCTAAAGGGGCTGTTTTATTTCATCTGTCACTATCTTTTGGTGATTTATTAAATCACCAAAAGATTTATTAAAAGGGGGCTTCAGTTTTTTTATAACTTGAGGCCAGACACAGGAGAAACACTACAATGCTTCTCAGGGGGTCAAAATAATACACTTTTAATGGCAAATTTTGGAAAATAAAGGAACTGAGCAGAAATTTCAAAGAAGCGTTCAATCAACTTAGAGCTTTTCACAAAGCATTGACTTAGCAAATTCCAACCCATCCAGGTTTCAGTTACTCAAATATCAAGAAAAGGAAATTAGGAGAAGAAGAAGAAGAAGAAGAAAGAAAGAAGAAGAGGAAAAGAGAGTTATAGCTACCACCCTAGATCCAGCATAGATCCAGCCACCAGGAGTCCAGGAGGCAGCAGGGCTGCATATATGTGCTAGCTTCACATGGTGCGGATTTTATTGCTCTGGACTCCTGTGGCTGTCCCCACGGGTGGGGCTTCCAGTGTGCCAGCCGTTCTGGGGCTGGGTTAGGGGCTTCACGGTGTGTGGTGTGGGCTGGACTAAAGGCTCCAGAGATAGGCAGAGGTATGGGGCACTGCTCCTGGTGTGCCAGTGGCTCTCAAGGAGGTGGGGTTATGGAGGGAACAGAGCACAATCCCACCTTGGCAGAACCAGATCTGCCTCCTTTCCCCCCGCACAGAGTTGTTTCCAGCCAGTAATAACTTCTTAGTAACTTTTTTCAGTCCCTCACGCTGGGTATGTACATAGAATGGGCCAAGATGTTAAACTATATTCTATTTTAAAGGAATAACAGCACTTTTGAGATGGAATACTGTTGAACTTCTTGTTAAAACTGTAAGTACTAAATCTCCCAGGTTATAACTGATCCATAAAAATACTGAGATGAGGTGAAGGATGTCCCCATTCCTTTAACATTTCAGGACATGTCTCTTCCAGAGAATCTGTCAAGACAGTTACTTGTTAAGGTCTTGATTCCTTTTTAAAGGATAGAAGAGAGAGACGTGCTGGGCAACAGGCCCTCACCTAGAACAAGTTTGGTTAATATTTTTGGGGTTTTTGTGTTGCCTAGCTAATGCTCTATTATTATGTCTATCCTGTACTCAGTGCTGTGGTCTTCGCTTACTTCATTCTCATCACACTTCGGATTTTCAGTGCTGCAAATATTATTATCTGTCATGACCAATTTGTGGTGTCTTTATTCATGAAGACATTCATGTCAGATCAGATCTTCCTACTTAAGTATCTTAAGTATTGCCTTCCAGGAGAAAGGAGAACATTATAGGAGAAGGCAAATTGAATGAGCTCGGTGAAGGCGGTAACACTTATATCCATGGAATGGTACTGCAGAAGTATATTGAGACCCTACTTCAGACACAGAAAAGCCATTCTAGGACAGCAACTGTTTCATAAAGCTGTGGGCCAGTAGTTGGAAGGGCAATGTGATGATCCTCTGTCTGCCATAGTCCACCCACAGACCGGAAATGGGTTGTTTAAAGTCCAAACTTGAAGCTTAAACAACTGTTAACATATATTTAACTTAAAAGTTGTCAGGCTGTCTGTGCACAGGACCCAATTCTGATTTCATTTATGCTAGGAATATACCAAATCCTAGTCTTGGAAAAGATCCTTCTGGGAATTGCTCACCTACTGTTGAATTTGATTAAAATAAATGTTCATACTTACCATGTGTTTTCAGTATCTTTTAAGGCTTAAAAGAGATAAAGGAAAGCAGACTGTAAGATGACTGTAGAAGTTGGGGCATTAACAGTAACAAAATATCCTAAAAATCCACATTAAAAGCTTGAAGAATGATGACACAGAACTTTTTTGAGGAAGTATAGTGTTGTGGGAGGAGGAAGATTGGACTGTGGTCTTTGTTTTGAAGCCAGTGATGAGTATGTATGCACGCATGTGTAGAAGACCACTGCATAGCAAAGGTTTGTGTATATGATTAACTCTGTGTTCACATGCAAGTCTGTGCCAGATCCACATCCACTCTATGTGTGTTGTCATTGCATCTCCTCAGCACAACTAGAGAAACCTAAATTTTATTACGGTATTAAAATAATTTTAAGATTTCTGGTTTTAGCAGTTACAAGCTTTGAATTAAGAGCAGTCTTTCTGCCCCATAAAAACCCTGTTCAGGAGCCGTTTTAAAGCTGCTGTGGGTGTTCTGTCTGGAGTTACTACCTGCCTTGCCTTCATTAAACCTGCCATCAACAACATCTCGCTGATGACTCTGGGTGTTCCCTGCACAGCTTTGCTTATTGCGGAGTTGAAGAGGTGAGTATATTTCTCCCGAATGCAGCTTTGCCTTCTGAGATCCTTAGGCCAAGTGTGATGATATGCTAGATATGGCTTCAGTGCTTCTGATAGCAGATCAGAAATGCTTCTTCCACATGCAAGAGCAGATCTAGTACAAACTTGTTTGGCAGTTCAGACATCTTTGTCAAGGATTTTTTTTTTCCATATGCCATTACACTAGGTCAGTCTTCTGTCTTGCAGCATACCTCATGCTGCAGCTTGATCTAACTCAAATCTGTTTATTGTGGAATCAGAGCGAGGGTTTCACTTCATGGACAGCATTTCTTGGACAGTAGAGTGTGCATAAAGTTGAGGTGGTGGCATGATTGCAGTCTGAATACTAGTGGGAATGTGGAGCAAAGCCCAAGCGTGTGTGGACGATGTTCCAATTCTCAAAGTTGTACTGTGAGTCTTACAGCACTTTGTCTTCTGCTGTGGAGAATATGATAGAGTCAAACTGACAAATAAAGTTAATCTCTAGGTTTTGGAGGATAGCTATCACTAAGGACCTTAGAAACCATAAAACCAGAATGCAAATAGAAAAGAACCTGAGACTGATCTTTACATTTTAAAGAGATCTTCCGTTATACTGACTGGAGCACACCAGTGTCTGCAGCAACTCTGATATTTAAATAACTGCCATTTGTGTTAAATAGGGAACACCAGTGCATTGTGTAGACAAAAGGTGCAAATGGAAGTGCAAGTTTTGTGGGATCCAGGTTCTTTCAGACTAGGATAGGAGCGTGTCACAGATCTGTGCACAGCAGTGCGAACATGTCTTTCAGGCCCCCTGCTAATAGGTTCTCTCTCAGTGATAGTTGGAATGATCAGTGTCTGTTGACAAATAAAGGAAGGCTACGTTTCCAAGTGGTATTACCATTACATCTCTTCATTGTATTAGAAGTACTTGCTTTGCAATCCCCTGCCTCCTCAGCAACCATGTCCCCAGCCCTCTGAAGCACAATTACTGCAGGAGCTGAAGAATCCATGATGGGTGATCACAGAAAACCCGGGAGTATTACGCAGATCAGATGCTTTCTGCCTTAAAGTAGTCCTTTGCAGAACATCTGCATCATCTACTCCTATATTTTATAAAAATAAATTGCAGTACCTGGTAATGGTACTGAGCAAACCTCTCATAACAGTCTGTACCATTTCTACGGCTGATCTTGCATTGGGTAACGAAACCTTCAGTTTTCCTTTGCTGCCTTGAATTCTTTGAACCAGTGCAAGTTAGTTGCCTTCTGCTCTTGGTATTTGAGCTGCAAGTTTGAGGCCAACCCTCTTATCTTAAATGGAATGCAGTTGCACATGGTTGTTTCTGTACTTCAGACCGGGAAAACCTTCATATTCTCCATGCACACACCCTTTCCTCTGTCAGAATGCACAAGTACCCACTAGTCTGGTTTTATCTGTCAAATGTATGAAATTGATCCATACATATATCTGCTTAGGTACACAGTTTAGTGTCATGCTCTTAAAAACAGTTGTACCTCTCAATGAAGACTGTAAATGTGCCTTGGCAATAATGTGAATCTTTATGAAGTTCCACGTATTACCAAATCTGACTACTTGCTGAATGGCTGGTTGTTAACTGACAGCATGTCTAACTAATTACTAGTTGTCCTGAATACCCCTCCCTGGATATGAGAATGGTTTGATGTTTGCCCACCATTTGCACATCGGTGTAAGAGACAATACCCAAAACACAGCTATTGATAAAACATTTGTTTATTTTGTTACCTCACCACAGCCTTGCATCAAAGCCAGATTTACTTTACCTGAAGTTCCTCTATTAAGGACATTTATGGTAGAGTCATTTTAAAGATGGGTGTTTGGCATTGTTTTGTAACAACTTATTTATGTTTTTCTTCTCAGGTGTGAAAACCTGCGTGTATACAAACTGGGTCTCTTTTCAGGTCTTTGGTGGATGCTAGCACTTTTCTGCTGGATCAGTGACAAAGCGTTTTGTGAGATCTGGTCCTCATTTAATTTCCCCTATTTGCACTGTGTATGGTAAGTGTTGTGTATAAAGTCCACCACATTATAAACTCACCACATTACCCTTCTGTGCTGCCTGGTGGCTATTTCTGGTTAGTTCTAGACAGAACTACTGATAAAATTATAAGCTCAGAGCAAGTCTCACACTATTCAACATGACAGATTTAGGAATCTATTTGGCCTGATCAAATTCTTCAGACACTAAGTTCATTAATTGTAACTCAATTCCTTACCATACTGATTAGTCAAAAAAAAAAAAAAATTGCTCAGCTGAAGCTGTGATTATAAATTATGGAATATGATGATTATTCCATCAATACCAGTGATGGTAATCCTCGTTGTGATTATTTAATGATGGTGAAGTAGAGGAACAGTGAGGGGCTTTGATGCCTTTTCTCTTTTACCACCCAGCAAATTGTGGTCGCTTACTCAGGGGCCATATGTCAGCATTTCTGCACAGGTGCAGAGAAGCCAGAAAGCAGGAGCCTGTTTAAACCAGCAATAAACTAGTTTTGTAGTTTTCCTTATTCTCTGTATTTGGACAGGCAGCAGCCCTATGGGGGACTTGGGGGAATATGGTGAAGGACAGACTGATTTTACAGTGATCTAGTTGGCTACTTTACCGAAGTCATGTTACTGATGTTTTTTTTCCTTTCTTTTCTTTCTCTTCTTTGTTTGTTTGTCTTTATTTTGTTTCTGTTTGGGGTTTTGTTTGGTTTTTTTATGGTTTTGGGTCGGTTGTTTGTTTTTTTTGGATGTGTGGGTCTATTCTCAGGCACATTTTGATTTGCCTTGCCGCATACCTGGGCTGTGTCTGCTTTGCTTACTTTGATGCTGCCTCTGAGATACCTGAACAGGGCCCTGTCATAAAGTTCTGGCCCAGTGAAAGGTGGGCATTCATTGGAGTTCCCTATGTCACCCTCCTCTGCGCACACAAGAAGTCACCTGTGAAGATTACATGAAGTTGACAATGGAATGGGGATTTTCAATTTACATTCAAGCATAGACAGTATTTAAATAATGATAAATGACTAGTGTTGTATTTTTTCTTCTTGCTAAGATAGGCAGCACTTCAGATGTCATAGGAGGAGGAGGGATGTGTGTTCTTTCCTCTCTGGAGAGAGGAAGCAGGAATGTGGAGGCACTTGAACACTAAAGGAACTAAATGGCTTCTCTGGTTGTCTCTGTTTTGCACTGAATGTTTTTTTATGTAGCATTTCTCTTGATAAAAGCTCTTTCCAAATACCAGCGTCGAGGAATGATGTTTCTGCAGCAAGTCACCTGTGATACTTGAGTCACTTCTTTTGTAACTGCTGGATTAAGGCCTTCTTTGTGAAAGAAGCCAGTCCAAGAAGCCTGTATGTCATCCCATGTCCTTCATAGGCTCTGATTTTGCTGTGCTTGCACGTGGCCACAAGAGTGTGCTCAAAGCCCTTGCTACTCCCAGCCTGGTGTGGCACTCAGGAAGTCTGGCTGAGCATCACATTGGATCTCACAGGGTACATGGTTTCATACCCAAGTACAACAGGAAACTGGTGTTTGCAGCTGGGTAACTGTGTAAGCACAGTTAGGCAGTGTAGATGCAGAAGTAGCTGACGCAAGTCGCTAAAACTAAATAGGAGTTCAATGCTCTACTGTATTTCCACTCACCTATGAACATTTGTATGCTGCATATTTCTCTTTTGCAGAAATGTCACAGAAATCCTTCTACCTCTGTGGACACTTTTGGTCTTGAATTTGGCACTGAAGCACACACAGAAGTGTAAATACTAAATTCAGTCAGATCTTAGGTCAGCGTGGATTGACAGTATGATTAAACTGCAAAAACTTGTATGTGCCTGGCTGCGAATCTCATTTGAGAGGTGGCTTCTCACCAGTGCGTTGCAAAGTGATGTAAAAAATAGTCCAGTGTTCCACTGATTATACTTAGGAAGAAAGTAGGTAACTGCTTAAAAACCAAGCTGGAGACCTAGATTTCAGAGAGCAGTGAAATGTGATATTGCATCTTGCATTCTTAGGAAAGAACAGTAGGTTTGAATTTTCTGTTGCTTTTCAGGCTATTTTGTAAAAATAAGGGATGTCTAGGCTGATTTAGTTTTAAGATTATTGGGGTTGAAGTTCAGGAATGACTGTGGTTCTTGTAAGCAATTTGTACTAGGCCTGTTTAAGAAATGATGCAAAGTGCAGGCATGTTTTTTTAAATATTAGCCATTGTAATAGCTGCAGTTTTGGAGAAAAAAGGGTCTACTCACATTCCACCAAACTGTAATATCAGAACTGTAAGTGGGTTAAGGCTTTAAATATACACTTTTATTAATAAGTGTTACTTTCTTTTTTAGTATTAGACCAGGAAATATGATTTCTTCTCTTGCTAACACAACTCAAGCTGTACTTGCTTTTATCAATGTGAAAATGTATTCTATACAGTATGATCTTCATGAAAGTGACTTCTAGCAAGAACTTCAGAGTGAATTTACTTTCAAGCATTTTAAAAACTTTGTATTCAAATATATGCTTAGCAAGCAACAACTGTGTTGTACGCTGATATACTTAAAAGAGATTGCTAGTGGAAGATATGACTGTCCTCTTGAGACCTTCAAAGTGGATAAGTAGACTGCTGTCAGATGACTGCCCAATCATAAAAGCAGCAAAATCTTTCCAGTGGAACAGTGCATACTTATACTACTTGCTAGTAGGTTTGAAACATCTTTTTTGACACAAAGTGATACAATTTTTTTATGAAACCTGTTTGTAAAAATTTATATAGGAATTTTTGTTACTCTTTGAAACGCAGCTGCTTTGTCCTTTTCCTTCCTCTGTCCCTGATTATGAAATGCTCAGTTTCAAATACTTCTCAGGTATTAAAAGTTATATGATTATACAGATAGGATTACTGGCTGGAACCCAGCTAAGGTTTCTGATGCCTAATATGGCCCTACTTTGAGTAAGATTTTTTGATATTGTTTGCTAAATTATTATGTAATGGTAAGTAAGTTATTTTCCGTATTGCTTGGGAATGTAATAACTGCAGACATAATGTACTATTCAAAATGACTGGAGCCTTCCTATGTAATATTTTGTTTGAATGCAACCTCTGACTCAAAGGGCTCTAATCAATCTGCTGTTAACTGCTGTTCTGCTCTGCAAAGTCTGACTGCTCACAGAGAAGTAATTTCAAAATTTAAAAAATCTCAGTGCATTCAGCTATTGAAGAGGTAAATGAATGCAGATACGTACCAAGAATCACCTGTATTTTTAGTAACTAAACCTCTGGCCTTCATACTCTTCATAGGAGATTCTGTGAACAAGATCACTATGTGTTATTCAAAGCTTCACTGTAAAACTAAACTAGTTGGTGTATTCCACTGTAGCTCACCACTTTTAGATGTAGCTATTGCACTTTACATTAAATTAGTATTAACTTCTATGTCCTGAAAATAGTAAATTTATTTCAAAGAGTAAAAAACATGCAGTTTTTCCATCTTCACAGATTGCACCTTCAGGATAAATCTAGTACCCAGAAAAGTGTGTGAGTGGCATTCAGAGGGGTTTGTGCACTGGATCATACAGATAAATATACACGTGCCCAAGTAGCTGTATCATGTTGCAGCAGTATGAAGTGATGTATATGCACCTGCACGTTTTAAAGTCTCAGAATGCTCTCTTCCACTACCAGCTGGAAGTGAGTTGGTTCCTAGACTTCAGGTTCAGTTAAAAGTTCTTTTAGTGGGATGCAGTGGTGTGTTGAGCATATTGTAGATACTGGCATGTGATATTCATCATTCCTTTAATGTTAAACTTTGTTTTTTAAGACAGGATGGTTGACTTTCCATGGTGGCGAACGTTTTTGCAATTCACAGTCATTAAAAACTCAATAAATAGTATGTAAAGAGTGGTGTTGGGCTGGGTTTTCTTCCTGTCTCCATTGAAGTCTGTATACTAAATGTCTGTGGAAAGCATGTAATACTTTGCAGCATTAATCTGCATTTGGAGTACATATTGTTTGCTTTTTCATACATCATGTTTCTGGAGAAAAATGTAGCTGCCAGTACAACTCCTTGAAATATAGTAAGGATAACTTCTCCCTTACACAGATAAAAGCAGTTCTGACTCATGGAGGAGGAGGGAGACTGTGTTAGATACAAGACCGTTAATCAGTGAGATAAGAGATTGCTTTGCTTAGCAAACTGGTTCTTGCAACCAGAGCAAATACTTTGAAAACTGCAAACCCATGAAACAACAAGGATGAGTAGCAAGAAATGCTAAAAACAAGTGGTCTGTATTTCCACAAGTAGAGGAAACTGGGTCAGAGTGAGTACATCTGGGAGAACAGAGTATGGATCTTCAGTATAAGACTCTGCTCCCAATTTAAAGGAGTGAGATTATGGGTGCATAGTAGCCTTGCACTTGCCCCTCCCATTTCCCTTTTACCAGAGTTCCTCTCGCTTCATGTAAAAGACAATTTTTGAGACATTCATGGGTCCTCATAAGCAATTGTAATCGAGCTTCAAATAGCTGTTGTGTGAAAGCACAGCTATAATTCAAGAATGTTACTCATTCCAAGTTAATGTCTGTATCTTTTTAGGAGTCAGAAACAGCTAGTGGCTTAGCTCATATACTATCCTATCCCACGGAGCCTAGGAGAACATCATGATACCATGGCGTTTCTCTGGTAACTTCAGAGCTATAGGCTAATTTTGACCAAATCTGACATAGACAAAGCCTTGGAGACAATTTTCTACAAGCTGTGCAAAAGATGGTCAGGTAAAGAAGCCAGGCCGCTGAAACAAGCTGTTGCTAAAATAATAGAGAATTTACCCAGGAAGGAAATGGAACCAGTGCCCAAGTTCTGGAGTGGCTTGTGGTTTGTACTGGCTGAAGCATCAGGAGCTACTTCCTACTTGGAAGAAATTTCACAGGCTTCTGTTCTGGATATAGAGGAATCACTTGCTGTAACACACACACACAAATCTACCTTTCCCCCAAACTTACAGAGCAGAAACTCCCTCACAAGGGTAGTTCAGAAATCTTGTATCACTGAACTCAGGCTGTAAGTTCAAGACAGGGCAAGTTGAGAAATACTGCAGTTTGAAGGAAGTGACTTCTGGCCACAAATTTACAAAATGTAAACACCTGTTTGTAAACTTCCAGTATGTGGTGAGAAAGTGAGTGGGTGTTTATTAAGTACAAGTTGTGTCTGCCTAATTTAGTTTTCTTGTACAGTAAGGTATTTCCTGTCCCTGTGGCTATGGAAAAAAAATGTACTGTTAGATTTTGACTCATAAGAGTTGTAGCATTGTCTGAGAGAACCCTTAAAATGGTAGAAAATCTGTGTTTGATAAAAGTTCTGTGAATTTGTGCAAAATTGTTTGAATAGCTGCTCCTGAACTGTCCTTGATGATCCATTATAAAATCAGAAGAGGGTGTCAAGTGGAGTTCAGCAGGGAGTCCTTCCTGGGTCACCTTTTGTTTAGTTGCTCAGCAGTGGTCACATGAAAGTCACTGATAAAGTCTGGGAAGATTCAGGAATACTTTGAGAAAAAAGTAAAAAATCTGAAGGTGGCTTGCTGAATTGTAAAAAAGTAGAGCAAAATTAAGTAAGTGTATTATATCTATATAGTCGTTATTGGCAATGCTGAATGTGGAAAAACTAGGAAGGAAGCAGTTCTTTGTAGAACTGAAGGATTGGTGTGGATCAGGAGCCCAATATAATACAATAAGACATCTCATTAAAAAGAAAAAAGACATCATCATACTGGAAAAAGAAAAAAACAAAACAAAACAACAACAACAAAAAACCTGTGTGGAGAAGCAGACCTATTCAGCCTTAAAAAACAGTATGAGATAGACAAACAAGATGTAAGTATATATAAGGAAGTGTGCAAAGATTCAGGGCATTAGGAGAAGTAAAGTACAGGAGGCACAGGGGTAGACTCTGGAAGCTCAATGTCTCTTATCTGTTCATGGAGATATTTAAGGAGCAGTTGGAGAAGCTGAAGGCATTTGTATAGGCCATGGACATATCTGGTCCTACGTGATAGCTCTGCTGAAGCACATGGAGAACAGGGAGTTGATTCTGGACAGCCAACACAGCCTCGCCAAGGGCAAGCCCTGCCTGACCAACCAAGTGGCCTTCTGTGATGGAGTGACTATTTCAGTGGACAAGGGAAATGACAGATGTCATTTATCTGGGCTTCTGAAAGGTCTTTGACATGGTCCCCCACAACATCCTGCTTTGTAAATTGAAGAAAGAGGGACTTGATGGATGGACTGTTAGGTGGATAAGGAACTGGTTGGATGGTCATATCCAGAGGGTAATGGTCAACAGCTCAGAGTCCCAATGGACATAAGTGACAAGTGGTGTCCCTCACAGGTCCATATTGGGACCAGTGTTACTTAATACCTTCATTAATGCCATAGATGGAGGGATCAAGTGCACCCTCAGCAGATTTGCAGATAACATCAAGATGAGTGGTGTGGTTGACCCGCTAGAAGGACAGGATGCCATCCAGAGGGACCTAGACAAATCCAAGAAGTGGGCCCGTGGGAATCCGAGATTTAATAAGAGCAAGTGCAATGTGCTGCACCTGGTCAGGACAGCCCCTGGCATGTCGCACTGTAGGGACAAACTGAAAATGAAAAGCAGCTGCAACAACAAATAGCAGAAGCCACTGAGCAGGAAGGTGGACCAAGTCAATTCGCAGAGCTCAGAGCTGTCCGGTTGGCATTGGACATTGCTGAATGAGAGAAATGGCCAAGACTTTACCTCTACACTGATATGTGGATGATGGATGATGGCCATCATCTGTGGGCATGGTTGGATAGATGGAAGAAGGCCAATTGGAAACGCAGAGGGAAACCCATATGGGCTGATGATATGTGGCAAGACATTGCCACCTGGGTAGAGAAGCTGATTGTGGGAGTCTACCATGTAGATGCCCACATGCCCAAAAATTGAGCCATTGAGGAGCACTGTGACAATGAACAGGCAGACCGAGCTGCACAAGCTGAGGTGTCACAGGTGGACCTAGACTGGCAGCACAAAGGAGAACTGTTCCTAGTGTGATGGGTCCACAGTGCCTCAGGCCATCAGGGCAGAGATGCCAGCTACAGATGGGCATGAGACCAAGGGGTGTATTTAACCATGGACACTATTTCTCACATTATTCATGATTGTGAGGTGCATGCTGCCATTAAGCAGGCTGAGAGTGAAGCCCCTGTGGCATGATGGATGTTGGAATAATCAACCTGGCAGGCTGATTACGTCACACTGCCACAAACCTGCCAAGGTAAGCACAGTGTGCTCACCATGGTGGAAGCCACCACTTGATGGCTGAAAATGCATCTGGTACCCTGTGCCACTGCCG